AGGAGTCACCAGAGACAGAGTGGGAAGCAGTGTATATCAGTAGCTCTGCTGAGGGGAACAGCAGGTGAGACAGGAAAAGTTTGTTATGCCATGTGGGTTAGCTCCCCGGCCAAGGATCCAATTAGCGTTGCATCCAACTCACGCTGCAGTGGCTGGCAAATGTCTAATATTGCTGTGTTTAGGCTCTGTGCCACTAGGGAGACTCTCTTGTTGTTTCTTGATATAGGTCTTTCCTTTTCATGTCCTTCTTGCTACTGCTTTTGCTGAATCCCATAGGTTTTGGACAGTTGTGTCCTGTTTATGATTCCTTCACTTACCCAGCAATCTTACAGTATTGTGTTGTTCAGTCTTCAAGTAAACATATTCACTGCTTTCTTTTGACAGATGTTTTCTAGTTTGATACCTTTATGTTTCAAGAAACTGCCAGGTATTATTACAATAAAAAAAAAAAGTGATTTTTTTTTTTTTTTTTTTTTGGTATTTGTATTTTGTCATTTTGTATCTCAGGATGTATTCTATTCTGGAGAATATCCTATGTGCAGTCCCTTATTGATGTATGACATACAAATATTTTCTCCCATTCAGGTGCTTTTGTTTTTAACATTTATTCTAGAGACACAAAGATGGTTCAACATTGAAAATCAATTAATATCCTTCACAATATCAACAACAAAAAAACCCCATATGATCATATCAAAATGCTGAGAAAGCATTTCATAAAGTTCAATGTCTATTTATGATGAAAGCCCTTGACATTCTTGAGAAGGAATATAACTTAATAAAAGCTATATACAACAAACCCACAGCTAATGTAATTCTGAATAGTAAAAACTAAAAGCCTTCTTTTAAGATCTGGCCAAGACACAAGGATGTCCACTTTCACCACTGCTATTCAATATAATACAAGAAGTCCTAGCTAGAGCAATTAGGAAAAAAAAAAAGACATACCAGGAGTCCAAATATGGAAAGAAGAAGTAAAACTGTCACTATTTGCAGGTAACATGATAATATATATAGAGAGAACAGGCACATGAAAAATGTTTATCACCACTTACTAGGGAGATGCAAATAGAGAACCCTAAAAACTTCACAGAAAAACTATAAACCACTTAGTAGAATAGGCTACCAAATCATACAAAAATAAGTAGACTTCTTACATGCAATCAGTGTGAAGAAATCAAGAAAACAATATAATTTACAATTGTACCAAAAAAGGATAATACCTGGGAATAAATCTAACAAAGGAGCTGAAAGACCTACACAAAGAAAATTACTTTGTTAAAAGGAATAGAAGACAAAAAGAAGTAGAAAGACATTTCCTGCTCATGGAATGGAAGAATTAACATTATCCAAATGGTTATCCTACTAAAAGCTATTTACAGATTCAATGCCAATTCCAATAAAAATCTCAGGGTAAATATTGCTGGAATTCATACAGAATCAAAAAAAAACTTGAATAGTCAAAGTTCTCCTGACTACATAAGTAAGAATGAAGGTATTATATTTCCAGAAATCAAATTATGCTACAAAACCATAATAATAAAAACAGCATGGTATGAAACAAAAAGTCACAGATCAATGGACTTGAACTGAAAGTCCAGAAATACAATCTCACATATAGAGTCAATAAATCTACAACAAAGGAGGAAAGAATGTACACTGGAATGAGGACAGCCTCTTCAATAAATGGTGCTGGGAAAACTGGCCCACTATATGTAAAAGAATGAAACTGGACTATCGCCTCAGACCACACACAAGAACCAATTCAAAATGTATAAAAACTTGAATATAAGATCTGAAACCATAAAACATAGGAGAAAACAAAGTTAACATACTCCATGGCATACCTCTCAGAAACAAAGAGACATCCTACATATTGGGAGAAAATATTTTCATACTAACTATTGACAAGGGACTGGTATCAATGGTCAACAGAGAGGTTATTTTCAACAAAAATAAGGCAAACAACTCAGTCAAAAAGAACAAAATGGGCAGAACTTAAAAGACATTTCAACAGGAGCATGAAAAAATTATCAACATCCCTTATAATAAGGTAAATGCAAATCAAAACCAAAATGAGATACCACCATACACTGGTGACAATGGCTTATATTAAAAACAAAAACCAGGTGACAGGACCTCCCTGGTGGCGCAAGTAGTTAAATCTTAGCTTTATGAAGCTATTGGCAGCCACTGCAGGATAAGTTCGATCCCCAGCCAGGGAGCTAACCCACACAGCACAACAGACCTCTCCCATCTTGTCCTGCTGCTATCCTCAGCAATGTATTTCAGTCAATCCACCTATTCTGCTCCCTGCTCTGTCTCTGTTGAATACTCTCAACCCCACTCCCCTTCCACATACACTCTTGTCTGTACCCCAAGTCTTGTATGCATAAATAAATCTGTAAAAATATTAGTAATAACAAATTTTGATAAGGATGTGGAGAAAAAGAAACCCTCTTACACTGCTGGTAGGAATGCAAACTGGTTCAACCACTATGGAAAGCTACATGGAGGAGCCGCATATTACCAAAAATGGATCTATTATATGACACAGCAATTCCACTCCTAGAAATCTAGTGAAAGGAGACAAAAACATTAATTCAAAGGGAAACCTGCTTGCCTATGTTATTGAAGCACTATTTACAATAGCCAAGATATGGAACAAACTAAATGCTCCAAACAGAAAACTGAATCAAGGTGTGATATTTACACATAATGGACTACTACTCAGTAATAAAAAAGATAAAACTCATGCCATCTGCAGTAACATGGATAGAGTTGAAAGAGATTATGCTCAGTGAAATAAATCAGAGGAAAAAGTATTCACTTACAGAAGGAACACAGGGAAACTGAACAAAGAGTCAAAGAAAAAACAAAACTTTCAGGCAAACTACAGATCTGAGGCATGCAGCGAGGCATGGGGAGAGAGAGGGCCAAAACAGGAGAGGGAAAAGCAAAAGGGACTATGGTGATGGTTCCCAGGTGATATAGTGGAAGGAAACTTTTGGGGACTACACCAGAGGGAAGAAATCAAAATTGTACAAAACAAACTACAATGCAAGAAAATTAAAAAGTTTAATAAAAAAATTGTTAACTGTGGGTCTCATTTTGTTTAAGTGTCTTTCTTTTGTTTTCCTGGCTTTGTACATTTTCCCCTCTTTATTGCCTTTTCTCATGAAGATGTATAATTCTTGGAGTAGTTCTTAATTTTTTATTTTAACTTTGTTTTTCTTTTTTTATTGTAGATGGATTCTTTGTAAACTCACCTTTTCAACGACACCGACTCATCCTTCCATTTTATCTATACTAATTCCATAACTTTCCCCAGATTTTTTCATCTGTATTTCTCCTTCTATATTCTGAAACATCATTGTTATCTTAATGAAAACTTCACTTTTTGTCTTCAGTTCACTGATTTTATTTCTAAGGACATTTATTTTGTACATTTATTTCTGAGTTTTCCAGGTATCCTACCATTTCTTTGAATTTCTTTACGATGACAATTTTAAACTCTGTATCTGATAGGAATTACATATACCTTCCATGTTTTTGAAGTTAGATGCTGGAGATTTATTTCATTTGTATTATTGCCCTGTAGCTCTTTGTTGGGATTTTCCTCCTCCCCATTATTTGCTTTGGAGACCAGCTGCTTAGATGGAATTTCTGCTGGATATGACTCCTCTCCTTTCTCTTTCAGAGAAAGTGGTTTGGGTGGGTGGCTGGTAGGTCATACTAGAGTTCATGAGGTCTGGGTCACCTCCGGGGCACATTTTAGATAAGTAAGCAGAGAAAAACAAACTTCTTTTAAGAAAGTAAAGTTTATTTAAAGGAAGAGCTAAGTACAGCATACTTGGGAGGGGCTAGAAAGCCCCAGTGGGCCCGGGTCTAGGGGTATTTAAACTCCCCCATCTGCCTCTAATCTCATCCTATTCTGTGATTGGCTTTTTCTCCTAGTGGCTTCACTCCTCCAGGCAGATGTGCCCATTTTCCCAGCTCTTATTTTAGAGTCTTTTAATCGTCCCAGTCCAAAGTCTCCTAAAATTTACTATCCCAATTAGTCTCAGATTTTAGTTTTAAAAAAATTTACTGCCCTCATTAGCCCTCCTGAGTTTCTCTGCCCTGATCTCAGAGGCCTCCCTTAATCTCTCCAAGTCCCAATCAGCACTGTCCCTTAAGCCACTTAACCCTAACTTGTCCAGAGACTCATAGTAAAAGGTGTAACTGAACTTAGAGCTTTTTAAGGAGCTTAAGCCCGCCACTATTAATCACATAAGCATTTCATCTGCTACCTTGCTGTGTTGAATGAGGACTTCCTCATTGATTTTTCATAAACGGTGAGATACTTTAATTTCTTGGATGAAATCATTTCTGGTCATTATTCAGCTATATTCAAACTACAATGCCCAATATTCTGATTGGGTGACAGTCCTTAAGTGGCTTACAACGATTTGACTTTAGAAACGGAACCGCATAAAAACGATGAAGTCTTTTTACTATACCGGGTTATTTAGAGGCATGGGGGGCTTGTTTTTCAAGATAGTGGGCTACCGATAAGTAAATGCTCGGACTCTTGAAAATCTGACTTTAAAAACCTCCGAATTTACGTCCTTCAAGCCTGCCTCAGTTCACAGTTCTGTAGGGTCGAACCTCTGGGAAACCCCCGGCGACCTGAAAGCAAGTTGGGCGGGGGCAAACCCCATATCATAAAGGCGGAACCGGGGCTAAAGCGCGGCAAAAAAACAAAAAAACAAAAACAAAAAACAAACAAACAAAAAAAAAAAAACGGGCCTCACCTCCTTCCCACTTTCGTTTCTTCCTGGCAGCCGCCCAAACCGCAGCGCGGGAGCTTGAAGTGGGTCCAGCCGGTGCCTAGACTGTAGCCCGGCAACCTACAGTCGATTGGTAGCGTCTGTACGGCTCGCGCGAAACTCGATTGGCTCTGCCTGTGGAGGGAGGAGACGCCATCGCCGCGGCCGCGGCCTGGGTTTGTGAGGAAGGGCCTGGGCCCGGGCCTGCTGTGGTGGGCTCGCTGGGCGCCTGGGTTCGCGTCCTGCCGCAGTCTCTGCTCCAGCTTTGCCCACTTCCCAGCCCAATAGGGGTGGGCTCGAGGAAGACCTGCCGGAGCCATGGACGACGAAGTGGTCCGTATCGCCAAGAAGATGGACAAGATGGTGCAGAAGAAGAACGCGGTGAGCGCGGCGGACGACGCGGGCGGGGAGGGAGGCCGGGCGGCTGAAGGGGGCCGCCTTCGTGGGGGCCGGACGCGGTGGGCCTCTGGCCGGGCGGGAGGGGGTCCTGGCCCGCCTACGCCCGCCCTCGGTCGCGGGCAGCGGAGGTGAACTGCTCCCGCGTCCTGGGCCGGGTGTCATGGGGGGAAGGTAGTGTGTTCCCGCAGCCGCGGGCGTTTAGGGCCAGTTTTCGGTGCTTCAGTGTCCCTCGTTGGTAATAACAAAACGAGGTTTTAGCCTCGAACGAGGCATTATCTACCATTATTTTAAAACGTTTGTAGATTCAGATCCTTCCTAGGTCAAGAATATGGCAAGCCCTAGCTATGGAAAAGAGAATTCTCTTTTCCACGATTGTTGGCCAACAGCTAGAATTAGCATCCGATAGAGGTTTGTCGTCTGCTATAGACATCAGGTTTATCAAGTAAAATGTAAAATTCTTGAATTTTAATTTTGAAGAAGACTAAGCATTTTATCTAACTTAGGGCACATGTTTGCCTAGCAGTTAAAAAGATAAACTTGGCAAGTTCTTAATCTAAAAGTGGATATTTTGGGGTGTAGTGCACGAAAGAGCTATGATTAAAGAGCGCACCTTAATTAGGGGGTGCTGGTCGGATGGATTGGACAAATGCCATTGGTGGACATTCCCTAAGTGATTTACAGTTAATGCCAGTCGCCTTATTTTGTTATTGGTATGTTTGTGTGATTATGATCTCTTATGGTGTGTGTGAAATCTGTCGTCCAGTTGCAGCACTTTTGTGTGCATTTGGCATCCTTTGCTTCAATCACCTATTTTCAGATAAATCTTTGCACCTCACCTGGATTTGTTCCACCATGCTCGGCACATTTGCGGTGCCAGTGTACCCCAAACAACTCATTATTCTAAGAAACAAATTCCGTATGAAACTGATACGAAGAGGAATAGGGATGCTCTGCATTTTAGAACATTTTAGAGTTACAAAACATCTGTGCAACATTTTTTGGGGACTTACAATACGGCCGTGGTGTATCTGTTTTACAGAAGAAACCGAGTTAGAGAGGTTAATTAATTCACCTACTTAAGTACTGGACAGTTGGTTTAAGCCAGGTTTTCCACAGGACAGCATGTAGAGTTTTAACCATGAATTGTTAAGATTTCAAACATAGTCTGTTCCTCTTTTAACAGGTGCACTGCTCAGTATTTATTTTGTACCCTGTTAATTTGTATTTGCAATTTTGGCCATTTAAAGTACTTCTGCTTGTTTTCTGTTCTTACACAGCCCTTCCCCCCTTTTTTCCTATTGCTGCAGCTTTTCTGCTTATTTGATATGTTGAACACTTCCTGTTATTTTGTTAAAATTGGAATTTATCTTCCCTTTCCTAGAGATCCCTACAATCTCACAGTAGAAGCTCATAGAGAAAAAGATGGTTTCTTGGGTAATTTTTTTGCCCTCTTAACTCCTCTGTGATGTGTTTTTTAATATTAATCTAATGCATTAGATGTTTGCTTTTATTTTCCCCTCCTTCATTATAATAGATGTTACTTATAATTTATTATAGGGCAAGTACAAGTAGACCAGGTAATATTTACCTGCAGCTCTCAAATTATCAGCATATTTTCAGATCTTCAGTAAACAGTGTGGGAAAGGGTGAGGATATTTGCCAAGGAAAAATACTCAAATCTTATTTTTCTAATAGTTCAAGTCTTTACCAGTATGAAAATTTGCCCCCCCCAAGAAGACTAAAATCATTTTTTCTTCTTCCTTTTCATATTTCATTTTATTATAAAATCAAATAGACAAATGAAATAGAGATGCATACCATCCCTTCCTCCAAAGCATACTATCAACCAACAAATAACTTTTTACATATTTAATAATTTAACAAAAGTTGTTTTGGGCTTGCCAGGTTATGGTAGATTCTGTGGTTTCTAGGTTTTCTTTGTGAGCTTTTCTCCTACACTTATACATGAAAAAGTAAACTGCTTGAATAACTGCTGTCATCTCTATTGAGAAGTTTAAGTGACATTATAGGACATTATTTTCATAAAACTGTAGGTGTCATATTTAAGTAGTAATGAAAATAGCTACCATTTACTGATCTGATACTCTGAGCCAGGTATCTTTTTACTCCAAAGATGTTTTTGTAAGGTAAATATTATCCCCATGCTAAAAAGGAAGAAACTTAAGAATTTAGAAAATTAGGGCCCCCCCCCCCCTTGGTGGTGCAGCAGGTTCAAGCCTAGCTTTGTGAAGCTATCGCAGCCACTGCAGCACAAGTTCAACCCCTGGCCAGGGAGGTGACCCACATGGCATGGCAGACCTCTTCTGACCCACCCCTTGTTCTCCTCAGCAGTGTATCTGTATGTCTGACTTCTTCCCCACTCTATCTCTGGTGAATCCTCTCACCCCCTCACCTCTGGCCTGTACCCCAATTCTGTATGTATATATAAATAAACCTTAAAAAATGAATTTAGAAAATTAAATGAGTATTTTTAAGTCAAATAGCAAGGAAGTGGCCAAATAAAGATGTGAATCTCAAATCTGTTTTTGCTCCAAAGCCAGTTCCAGTATGTTATGTTACAGTGTTTGTAGAAGAACCTTGCATGTGTACAGTTCAGTAAACATGAGATTGGACAGTAAGGATATTAGTAAATACCCCATTTCCGGACTGTAGTACTGTTAACAGGGCAGGGAGAGAGGGGCAACCCTGAACCCCCAAACCTGTCTGCTCTAAATAGGTTCTACCATTCTCCGCATCAAGACAAAACATATAAAACTTTAATGAAAAGGAACTTTAATACTGTGAGTATACAATATGGAAGACAAAGAATATAATTTTTAAATCAAACACCTCTGAAGTTACGCATCCCCTCATGGGCAAAAGTCAACCCAGTAGGGATTGGTCCAAAGCAAGGCATGAAAGCCTGCCACGAGACTAAAGCACCTTCTGGCCAGGATGCATAGAAAAGGGTTAGAAATGGCCAGGCAAGTCTGGGAGGAAAAGAGCACAATCAAAATCCATCCCCATGGGTCTTTCACCCACATCTCTTTCAACCAGTCCAGGGCCAAGAAACAAGTGTGGTTTCTTTATCACATGCTTGCTGCTCCATGTGGCTCCCTCAGGTCTTCTGGCTCTCCATCCTACTTCCTTCCTCAGATTTCTTCTCTCTTCTTTTCTCTCCCTCCTTCTGGGTGGGGCAGGGAACCTGGAACTTCCCCTTTTCCTGGGGACCACCCTGTTAACAGTACTACTGAGAATGTTGTCCTATAGAATACTTAATCTAAGACAGTACTAGCATTATTTTTTAAAGATTTATTTATTTGTGCATACAGAATTGGGATACCGGCCAGAGGTACCCCAGGGGCAGGGGCGGTGAAAGAATTCACCAGAGACAGAGTGGGGAGCAGAACAGGCAGATTGATGAAGTACACTGCTGAGGGGAGCAGTGGGCAGGTCAGGAGAGGTCAGTAGCAGCGTGTGGGTCACCTCTGGGGCAGGCGGGGTTCAAACTCATGGGGAAATGTCTTTAGTTTCTTAGTGCTGGGCTTTAACCCGCTGTGCCACCTCGAAGGGCCATACTAGCAGTTTTTAAGTGCACAATTGAGTCCGTGATGAAACCATTTGTTAGTTCCAGGTCTTCAGGTCTTCAGGTATTAGCTGTTTTCACTTAGCTTTTTTCTTGTTATCTTCACTTGATGTCAATAAACAAGCCTGGTTCCTAATCTGGGTCCCAATTCTGGCTCTTCTCAATTTTAGCAGTGTGATCTTAGGCAAGTTTTTAATATCTCTAAAGTTAAATTTTTTTAGTAAAAAAGTAAAGATGAGGCCCTCCCTGGTGGCACAGCGATTAAGGTACAGCACTGAGAAGCTAAAGCTACTTCTCCCTGCCTGCCCAGTAGGTGACCACATGGCACCGCAGACCTCTCCTTAACCTGCCCTAGCTCCCCTCAGCAGTGTACTTCGTGGATCTGCCTGTCCTGCTCCCTACAATGTCCCTGGTGAGTCCTCTCACCACCCCTGCACCTCTGGCTTGTACCCCTGTTCTGTATGCACAAATAAGTAAATCTTTAAAAAAAAAAAAAAGTAAGGATGAGATGAATATAAAATTCAGCCTTCTGGGTTGTGTTGGTTAATAACACTTTATAATGGAAGAAGTAAGGTTAAGAATTTAGAATTTTCAAATTCATGTAGGCTTAAATAGAATTAAATTTTAGGGAAAGAAGCTGAAATTAGGTGTTAGAATTTCCTAGAAGCTGAATGTTTTTATTTCTAAGTCTTATTGTACCTGGGTTGGAAAAATAATCCTTTGATTTCCATATCAGGATTAGGCTAATAACTATAAATAAAAATTTACAATGACTATGCAGTTTTTTTGAAACTGGGTGTTTCATATAAACAAAATCATAAAATATTTGTATAGGTGGAACTTAAATGATCTTTTGTGATCAGCTTCTTTCACTTTATGTTTAATTTCTTCCATGTTATATAGCATGTATCAGTATTTCATCCCTTTTTATTTAACTGTATTTAATCTTTTGAGGAACTGCCAGACTGTTTTCCAAAGTAACTATCATTTTACATTCTGACCAGCAGTGTATGACTTTATATACAATTTCACCATGTCTTTGTCATTCTTTTTTTATGATAGCATGGTAATTAGTGTAAAGTGATACCTCATTGTGGTTTTGATTTACATATCTCTGACAGCTAATAATAAATGTTTTTTCATTGTTGGCTATTTGTGTATCTTTGGAGAAATGTGTGTTCAAATCCTTTTTTTCCATTTTTTAATTGTATGATTTATTGCATTTTAAGAATTTATATTCTGAACAATAGGCCCATATCAAAGACAGGATTTGGATTTAATGTCAACCATTCTGTGGGTTGTCGTTTAATTCTGAATAGTCTTTTTTCGATGTTTTAATTGAGGTAACACTGGTTTATAACATTTTATATGATCTAGAGATATAGAATTATACCATTAAGGAAAGGCACTAAAAGTCCTACACCATGTCCAGTGTGTCATCTCCCTATTAAACTCCTCCCTACCTCTCTAGTCACCTCAGTTCTATCAGAGTTTGGCATTGGTTTGATTTTTATCTGACCCTTTGCTTTGTTTCTTTATAGTCCACATATAGGTGACACAATCTGTTTTTTTTTTTCCTTTTGCTTTATTTTTCTTAGCATAATCCCCTCTAGTTCCATCTGTGTGGTTGCAAAGGCAAGAGTTTATCTTTTTTTTTTTTTATAGCTAGTAGAATCCATTGTGTGTATATACAACATCTTTGAAGAACAAAAACTTTTACTTTTGATGATGTCAGATTTATGCATTTTTTTCTTTTGTAGCTTGTGTTTTTGATACACAACAACTACAAAGTGAGATGATGAACTAAAATTTTAATTCCTAAATGTATCACGATGATCCCAAGTTGTAAATCAAGTATTTATAATTTTGTGTTTCTTTTTTAAAAGAAGCATCTTAGTTCTTATGATAATTCTTACTAAGAGGTATTTGAGCTGATTGAGCTTAAATAATGTTCACTTAAAGTGCAGACTTATGCTTATTGAGAATACTCTTATGGTAGAAATAGTTCTTTTTCCTTATTTTTTTAATCAACTTTATCTTAGGTGTCAGGAATTTTTTGATATTTCATGTGTGTTATATTTCCTTATTTGACCATTTTAATCACTTGAGGTTTGTGTATTCTCTCACCTACATGTAAAGAAGCTGAAACTTAAAAAGTACAAATTAGATTTCTAGTATCTTATCATTAGGAAGTTACAGGACATGGGTTTGAATCTAGATATATAATGTGTATCTATCTCCCTTGTAGGTCAGTATGTATTTTCTATTGCTCTCTCATATCTCCTAAAGGAGAAGGATGTTTGTATCCTGTATAATTTTGTATAAAGTAAGTGCCCATGGAAGTTCATATATTTCATCAAGGTACTTATTTCTATGGACAGAAAGTAGTATCAATATATAATAACATGGCCTGATTGCTGATGTTTATTTTTCACCTAGTTGTGAGCTAAATTTGCCACAAGACGTTAAAGTAAAATCTTTCTTTCTCTTGCATCATTAGCTATAGTAAATGTTGCAATCTAATAGACATGACTTCTTGAAGCAGTTAAGGACTAGGATAGGACAAAATGTAGTTTCTTGTTTGTTTGGGTGATGTTGTTCTCCCAAATTCATAGAGTGAAATAGACACTCGTGGACCTATGGAATGGAAACAGCAGTTGTGTAAGGTGAGAGAATAAAGTTCTTATCATTATGACTCTGGCAACTTTTTTTCTCCCAAGTTTAAATTTCTTTGTATAATTGAGGATTTGAAGTAGATGCTCAAAGCTTTCTGTTTATTTTTAAATTCCCTGATGTCCAAAAGAGTTTCTGCTTGCTTACTGCTGCATTGTTAGCACAGAGCAGAAATTGCTCATAGTTTTGAAAGAATCCTTTCTGAGAGGCAATGGAATATAATTTGGTAGAGACTGGTTGTTCTTACCTTTTCTAGTTAGTAATCTTATGACCTTGTGCAAGTTACTTAAGTTATCTGGGCTTCAGTTTCCACATCTGTAAAATGTAAAGTGTACATTTTTGTGTATCCTTCTGTAATAAGATCAACTATTTCCAAAGGGTTTATTTCATCCTTTATTCCAAAGGATGAAAGGAAGAACACAGTACTTGGTATATAGTACTTTAAGGTTTGTCAGTAGTCTAATACACAGTCATCTTTTTTTTTTTTTTTTGCCATTTTCATCTTTCACATTTTCATGACTGTTTATTAAAGAATTTGATTGAAGTATTCATCGCATTTGGTGAGAACAGTATAATTATGAGAAAGATCATAGTTTTATTTCATTAACATTATTTAGCTTTTTCTTCCTCTCGTATGTGTGTGTAACTCCAGTCTCATCAAAAAGATCTGAATAAACTGGAAAAGTTTGATTAAATTAATGCAATTATATTGACTCTTTGAAAACAACTTAAACCTTATGTCACATTATACTGATGTATTAGAAACATAACTTTATATGTAACAGATAGTGTTATATAAGTTTTAGAGGACTTTTTTTTTTTTAGAGATTTATTATTTATTCGTACAGAACTGGGGTACAGGCCAGAGATGCGGAGGGTGAGAGGATTCACCAGAGACAGAGTGGGGAGCAGAACAGGCAGATCTACGAAGTACACTGCTGAGGGGAGCAGTGGGCGGGTCAGGAGAGTTCTGCCACCCCATGTGGATCTCCTCTGGGGCAGACAGGATTCGAACTCATGTGGAAGTGGCTTAAGTTTCTTTGTGCTGTGCTTTAACCCCCTGCGCCACCAGGGAGGGCCCTAGAAGACTTTGTTTTTTAAGAACTCCTAGAAGTGTGACTCTTATCTTCTTTTCTAATTGATTCAAGGTTAGAAATGGATTGGAATGTCCATGGATACATGAGTAGAAGAAAAATGCCCATGGTAGCTAAAGCATACAGGTCCACAATCTCTATATCAAAACCTTTGGAATCAGACATATATTTTAGAGTTCCAAGTTTGTCAGATTTTATAAAGTTTATATGGTACACACATCTGGGCAGTTCCCAGTTATGTAGACATTAACATTGTATGCAAAGTGCATACTCTCACATTAAAAGAGATAAATAGAACATAACTATCTGTTGAGATTAGCTAACAAATGAGTTTATTAAAAGCTGATGATGCGGGCCTACAGTAAAAAAAAAAAAAGCTGATGAGATCGCTTGTTTTTCAGAGTTTTTTTCTTAGTTTTGGGATTTGTCATACGGAACTGTGAAGACCTTGTTTGCTCTCAGAAATGTCATGCCATAGAAACTCTTGATTAATAGTAAATATAAAGTCAGTGGCAGTATACATCTCTAATAATTATATTTCACCTTTTAAAACTTGTCTCTAAATAAAAAGAATTTGTAGAATTTCCAGATCAGATGGATTCTTGAAGCAGTGAATAAAATTCTTTGTAGTAACTTATTTTATGATTTCTATTGAATTTGTTTTTTATTTATGGACACTGCTTATATTCAAGTGAGGTATTTGTAGCCCTAAGAAAAGTTTTATTCTTGACAGTTAGCGCTGTTTTCTGTCCACTTAAAATGGAAAAATTTTGTGACTGGAGATCATTACTTGATTTTATATTTAAGAAATATAATTATTCTGAAAGACTTCATGTTTTATTTCTTCTTTGGGATTTAATGAGGGACTAACTCTGAGGCTTTATTTCTTTAGGGTATGCTATATTTCATTGATGTGTAGCATGCCTAGTTTTCATATTTAAGCATTGCAAAAAGCAGAATGAGTTACACATACCATTGGCCAGATGGCTGTTGGGATGTACTGTCACAGAGAGTGCATCAAATTTAGCATCATGATTTGCAGAATAGGTGTTAGTGGCTTGGGAGAAAATCTGAGCGCCATTAGTAGAGTGCTCTTTGAACTTCAAGGAAGAAATGACCCAAGAACAGTGCAGGTAAAAACAAAAACTATACATACCAAAGAGCAGACTTTAGCTCTTCATAGAGTCTTTTATTCTTGGTAAAACTTCTTTTGTGGAGTAAAAAGGGTATTATATTTGAATTATTTTCATAAACATTGAACTATAAAAGTGAACTAGTTTTAGAACCCCTTTATGGTTTTGCTTATATTTTTATTTTTATATTAAAGGCAATTTATATAAAAATTTCAAGTCTGAAAGAATTCTTTCAGTAAGCAAAATAAATGCTAAGAAAGCATTGCCATAGTTCAGTAGGTTTTCATTATTAATGGTATGTAGAATAATGTTGTGTCCAAATAGAATACATTATATGAGTATTAGACTAAATAAAATGGTTGAGTAAATCAGTGTGTTAGACAAAATATGGTAGATGAAATAAATGAACATCATTTTAGAATATTTGGCCACACACTGTAGGTGGTGCTGTTGCTTCTTATTTCACTCCATTCCTTGCATTTTATGTAAATTTTTCAAGTCTTTTTTCTTTCTTCATCATCTGTGGGAGCCATTGATTCTAGATGAGGATTGCCAGTGGACAGGCCTGTGAGCTTACCATAGATCTTATTTCTGAATTTTTTTCAGAATTTTGTTTTTTACCATATTGTAACAAGGTATACAGAAATGTTCCTGTGACAGACAAGTAAGATACAGAAAGATCTCAAGATTCTATCAAAGAGACAATCTTTCCCATTCTCTCTGTTTAAGTGAATGCTAGAGGTGCTTGCATCTTCCTCTCTCCCCCCATTTTCTTAGGGTTAGCGCATTTTGCAGGCAGATAGATGCTCTCCATGGACTTTTGGAATGTGTTATACCACCACAGTAATTTTACTTTTCTGCTTGGTACATATAAAAAATAACATTAAAAACTTTCACAAAACATTACTTAAGTGGTCATTACCTAGTAAATGCATTTTATGATCTCTGATGAGCAGTAAGCCTTATTTGGAAAACTCTGTGTGTTTATGTCCATATTTTTACTATTATTATGATTTAAATAAATAAGCCATAGTAAGAGTTAGTTAGAAAAACATAAAATTTCTAGCTAGTCCTTTTTTTGTCATTTTGGAAATTCATTATGAAATTGTTTCATTTTATAGGCTGGAGCATTGGATTTGTTGAAGGAGCTTAAGAATATCCCTATGACCCTAGAATTATTACAGGTATGTGTGAATATATGTCATATTTTTTTAATAGATAACTATCGGGAAATACTGATAATCTTCAGTACCAATATAAAATTTTCTGTTGTTTTTTTATGATATGGACCATTATTAACTTCTCATTTTTTAAGATAGTAAAATAAATTAACAAGTAACTAGTGCACTATTACAGAAAAATGTTGTCTTTCTTAGGAAGAATAACACTTGAATTTCTAGGGTTGGCAATGGGAATGAAATTGCAACTGTTAAAGGAAGTAAGACTCTTGGCTCTTAAGCGATCTCTCGAGATGTCACTTTCTTGGTCTAGCATCATTAGCTGCTACCAAAATGAAGCTAGCCTTATGGGTAAAGATAGCAAGGTGTCACTCTTCTCCCTTTTTTAAGCACTAACTGTGAACACAGTTATTTAGTAGACTGTGTAGATTCATTACTGAAGTCTTATTTTAATCTTCTATTAAGACTAAAACATAAATATAAAACTTTAAAAGTTATTTTTACTATTTCTTTTTGTCTCAGTGTTTGAAAAGAAAAACATTATGGTGAATTCATATATTTCTACCACACATTTCTTATTATTCTTAAGAGTCACCTTTGAAATTTCTAGTCAGTTATGTCTGAATTTATGAAAAGGTGAACATGGTTGGGGGGAGAAAACACCTATTTTCATTAATATCTTAACTAAAATTGAGCATTTCTTGTGTTTATGAGGACAGTGAAGTCTGATTGTATTACAATAGTTGATTGTAATTGAGAGAAATTACCAATTTTTAGACTCTAGTAGAGTTGTAGGTGTATTGATATTCACTTTTGCTGATTATGCTTTCTTAATATTTTAATAAAGGAGCACATATTGTGTCATTTGTGAACATATTTTGTAACTATTTGATTGATTTCTACAATTCATTTCTGTGTTTCTAAAACATAATCTATAGTCCTATGGAATCCTATTTATTTTACTTAGTCCATTTTAAAGTGTTCTGGAGAGGATACCAGCTTTACCACATTGCCAAATGGTGAAACAAAAAAGTTAGGAACTCCTCTACATGTATACCAAGAAAGAGAAAGGAAGTCTTGTCATCCTTGTTCAGAGACTATTCCAGAATTAGCAGCTTCTTTGGCAAATCAACTTTGAGAATAACCTTTCTTTGAGACAATACCTTACTACTACCTGGATGTGGCCTTATCATAGCAGCCTGTATGGGAAAAATCACATAATATGAAAACAACATAGTTAACATATTCAAGAGAAATGTTCTAGCATTAAAGAGGGTATGGAAGTGGGTAGGGTTATTATTATATATATATTTTTTTAAGATTGACTTATTTCTGCGTACAGAACTGGGGTATAGGCCAGAGGTGCAGGGCCAGTGAGAGGATTCACCAAAGTGAGGAGTATAACAGGCTGACCGTGCAGTAAACAGCTGAGGGGAGCAGCAGGTGGGTCAGGAAAGGTCTGCCATGCCATATGGATCACCTCCTGGGTGGGGACAGAACTCAAGTGGAAGTGTCTTTAGCTTCTTAGTGCTATGCTTTAACACACTGCGCCACCAGGGAAGGCCCAGGGTTATTGTTTTTAACATACCTTTGATTATTTTTGTTTACTTCATTCCTTGGAAAATATGTATATTTATGTGATAAGCATTTGAATTTAATTAAAGTTAGGTTTTAAAGTTTTTGGGTATTTGGCTTATAGAGTTGAATAAAAATTGATTTGTTCCCTCACTGATCTTAAGTTCTAGTACAGGTTTCTCCCACTATCCAAAAGTGTAATGTTTCTATTTGTCATGATTTTGTAATTTATTTTTTGAGAATGCTCAGAACTTTTCCATATAAATTAATGATAATAATGTCCTATCTTTAGAAAGTAGAGAAGGGCTAACATGTAAACAGAAAGGTATAGATGTCTAGATTGAGGTTTGTGTTGAATTATTTTGTCAAAGATAGGACAAGAGAAGCAGAAAGTTTTTCTTAATCTGGGAATCTCATGAAGGCCTTTATTACAAGTGATAAAGTGTAAGCTGAGTCTCAGCAAATGAATAGGTTCTCCCTTGGCAGATAGCTCTGGGAGTATTCTATCAGGGAAAACAGTATTTAGAAGCATTATGGCATACTAAGTTACGGTAAAGAAAGAACAAGTCAAACAAGGTTTGAAGAAATAGGAAGACTAGCCTGCTGGATTGTGTATGCAGTCCTGCTGAAGGCTATGGGGAGAGGAGAGTGGCCACATTTGCACAGTGAAAGAAAAGGAAGGCTGAACACAGGAAGACATGCCAATTACCACCATTACTCAGGAGAGTAGTGGAAGGCTTGAACTAAGACAGTAGAAATAGAAATGGAAGCAGGGATATTTGCCAATGATGGACAGCCTATAAAAACTGCTAGTTTGCTGATGGTGAACAGAGGGAGGAATTTGGGACAATTTTGGCATGGCAACAGGGTAGATGGTGTTATTTAACACTAGGAAAATTCAAGAAAGGTTATGTTGCGCGGTTGAGATGAGAAGGAAATGTTTTATGTCTTTGTTCTCTTAACTCAGTAGCTTTCATGAGGCTATAGAGCACTTGAAGTGAGCTAAAGAACTGAATTTTAAATTTTATTTAATTTTAAACAATTTAAATTAGAGTGATTTAAAAAGTATTAGAATGATTTAAAAAGTTATGTGTAAAAGGAACTTGAGGGCCCTCCCTGGTGGCGCAGCGGGTTAAAGCACTGCACTGAGAAGTTAAAGCCACTTCCTCAGGAGTTCGATTCCCAACTCCCGCCTGCCTGGGAGGAGACCACCTGGAGTGGCAGACCTCTCCTGACCTGCCCGCTGCTTCCCTCAACAGTGTACTTCGTAGATCTGCCTGTTCTGCTCCCCACTCTGTCTCTGGTGAAGCCTCTCACTCCCCTGAGCCTCTGGCATGTACCCCAGTTCTGTATGTACAAATAAATAAATCTTTAAAAAAAAAAGCACTTGAATACCGGAGAAAGAATAGTAGGGAGCTGATAGCCTATGGTTGAATTAGAACCTCCAGGAAAATGGTAGGTAGTAATTAGCATTGGGTTAATCAAGTGAAGATGCAAGAATCCACTGAAGTTTATATTACATTAGAGGAAACATTAAGCAGAGAATTAATTTATATGGGCTAAAGGTGAGGAAATAAACAGGAAGACAAATACTATTAATAGATGGCATAGTCTTTGTAACTTTTCTATGTAATAGAATCATTCATTCAGTAATTATTAAATGCCTGCTGTGTGCTAGGTATTTTACATGTTAAATACAGTGGTGAACAAGGCTAAGTCCCTGCCGTCATTGAACTTGGTGAAAGAGTTATAATATAGCTGTATTTTTTCTTTTTTCTTTTTACAGCTTTATTGAGGTATTCATGTGCCGTGCCATTCACTCATTTAAAATGTAAAAATTCAATGGATGTTAGTATTGTCATTTATAATATCACTACAGTTAATTCTAGAATATATTCATCACCTCAAAAATAAAACCTATAGCTTTTATCAGTCATTCCCTGTTCTTCCCGTTTTTCTACCCCCAACAGATTCCCCTTTGGTCCTAGGCAGTCAGTAATTAGTCTACTTTTTACCCCTCTAGATTTGTCTAATTTGGAGATTTCATTTAAATGAAATTATGCAATATGTGATCCTTTGTATCTGTTTTGTTTATTAAGATTTATTTATTTATTTTATGCATACAGACCTGGGTTATAGGCCAGAGGTGCAGGGGTGGTGAGAAGATTCACCAGAGACAGTAGGGAGCAGAACAGGTAGATCAACAAAGTATGCTGCTGTGGGGAGCAGCAGGTGGGTCAGGAGAGGTCTGCCATGCCATGTGGGTCACCTCTGGGGCAGGGATTGAACTCATGCTGAAGAGGCTTTAGCTTCTTAGCGCTGTGCTTTAACCCTCTGTGCCACCTGGGAGGGCCCTATTTATTTCTTTTACCAAGCATAATCTTTTCAAGGTTCATCCATGTTGTAGCATGTGTTAGTATAGTCATCCATTGTTTAACAACTGGGATATATTTTGTTAGGCAGTTTCATAATTTTGTGAATATATAGCGTATAATGACACAAACGTAGAGATGTTATTGTTTATTACACACCGAGGCTATGTAGTGTAGCCTAGCGGGGCCACTGTCATGTACTGTACCTGCTTTTTTTTTAAATGTCTGAATAATTTTTCATGGTATGCTTCAGTTGTTTCCATATTTTTGTTAGGACTCATGCTTCTCTGCATATCAATGTGCAAGTTTGTGTGAACATACATGTTATACTCTTGCATAGCTTACAGTAGAAATGCTGAGTTGTATGGCTACTTTTTGTTGAACATTTTTTTTAACAGTTTATTTTTACATCATTTTGTATATATATATTTTTTCATCTTAATTGTAATCCCCGCGGGTTTCCCATCACCAAATCACCCATGTGCCATCACCATAGTCCCGTGTACTTCCCTCTCCACCCCCCCGTTTTTGATCCCATTCCTCACTCCATCCCCACAAAATGTCTCTAGTATATGGCTGTTCATTATTCTTATTCTTTTCTCGCCTGGTCCATTATACTCTTGCTATGAGTGAAATCATCCGGTATTTTTCTTTTTCTTTCTGGCTTATCTCAATATGCATGATCTTTTCCAGCTCTATCCAAGTTGCTGCAAAAGACATGTGTTTCTCTTTTTTGGTTGCTGAGTAATATTCCATTGTATATATGTACCACATCTTTTTAATCCAGTCATCTACTTTAGGGCATTTGGGCTGCTTCCATGTATTTCCAATTGTAAATAAAGCAGCAGTAAACATGGGGGTGCAGGTATCTTTTTCAATCAGTGTTTGTTGAACATTTTATGGATCTGTCATAGTGCTTTCTCAAATGGTTGTACCAATTTGCAGTCCCATCAGCAACCAAAGGAGAATCTCAGTTTTTCCACATTCTTGCTAGGATGTGTTATTATCTGCCTTTGGGTGTAGCCTTCCTAGTGTGTCTGAAGTGATATCACATTGTAGTTTGGTTTTCATTTCCCTAATGACTAATGATATTGAACATCTTTTCATGTACTTTTTATTATTTGTGCTTTAAAAAAAAAGATTTACTTATACATGCAAGAACTGGGGTACAAGCCATGAGAGGATTCACCAGAGGAGAATGGGGAGCAGAAGAGGCAGGTAGGCTGAAATACACTGCTGAGGGGAGCAGCAGGCGAGACTGGAGAAATCTGCTGTGTCATGTGGGTCACCTCCCTGCCTGGGGATCAAACTCATGCTGCAGTGGCTGAGGATAGCTTCATAGTGCTGTGCTTTAACCCACTGTGCCACCAGGGTGGACCCTTTGCAGTAAATTTTGAAGCTGGGATTTGTGAATCCTCCACTTTTTTTCTATTCAAGATTGTTTTGTTTGTTTTGGGTCCGTTGAGCTTCCTTATAAAGTTTAGGATAAATTTACCACTTTCTTCACAAAAGACAACTGGAATTCTGATGGGGATTTCATTGTATCTGTAGTTTGATCTTATTAGTATTGCAATTTTAATATTTAAACTTTTGATTGATAAATATGGGATACCTTTCTATTTATTTAGATCAACTTTAATTTTATTGAACAATGTTTTGTAGTAGTTGTTTTTTACCTTTAGATTTAGTGACTGTCCTCAAGTCAGTGGTTTCTTAGATATGCTTAAAGCATAAGCAGTCAATGAAGACAGATTAAACTAAACATAACAAGATTTAAAGAAGTCCTACTTCAAAGAAACCAAGAAAGTAAAGGCAATCCACAAAAATGGCAGATACTTGCAAATCTTTTATTTGTAATATGTAAGGGAAAATACAATAAATAAATAAAAAAGACACATTACCCACCTTAAGAACTGGCAAAGCATCTGAATAGGCATTCCTCATGTTGCAGAATGAATACTCAATCAGTGATCACCAAAAATGATTTTTCTTTTGGAGCATACAGATTTGCTTATCTTCTATGATATTATTGGTGTCTCTTGATTTCAGTATTCATTCCTTCAGCTTTAACCACCATTGTGCTGATGATTTCCTAAGTGTGCTTAATGCATTTTCCATTTTTCTCAGCGTATACCTAGTGTTCTGAAGAAATGAGATGGCCAATCATGGTCAAAGGCATATGGTTTCTATCTAGAATTTTGCAATATATAGTTTACTTAAAAACTTTCATTAATCCTTCAGTCAAGAAAGCTGTTTAATTCTACAGTTCCTAACATTACTTGAGGACACAAAAGTAGCCTGCTTCTTAACTTTTGTAAATTATAATGTACTCGTTTCAGGAAAATCTGGATTCTAGGGAATTCTCAGAAACATGCCTAGACTTGGTTACTTAAGTGAAATAGTTCATAGTCTTTTTTTCTATCTACTTTTATGTATCCCAAAATATGCTCTAAAAGGAAAAACAAAAACCAGTTAGGTCAAGTCTTTTTCACTCTTAACTCAGTGTCAATTTCTTCTTATCCTTGACGGACAAGCTCTTCTTTAGTAAGTGTGTTTATTATGGATGCCTGTGTTTTCCAAATAGGTTTACTTAGGTTTGAAACAGGAAATTATTGACTCTAGTGATGAAAGACATTCTTCAGTAATTAAAATGCAATCATCTTACAGAATTTGATCACATTTAGTTTGATCACATTTTTATTTTACCTTTGCTCATTTCTGATCACTTTTTAAAATTCTATTTTCTTTGCCAACCTGTGTAGTTCCAAGTGTTGGAATTATATTAGGAACCCAGTATTCTTTCTACACATTCAAAAATTAGTTTTTCTTGTAGAGAATATGCCTTATTAATCCCAGATTGTTTTGGGACTTTATAATTTGAGAATCCACTCTAGCCAAATATATATTGAGTATTTTAAGTTCTTGAAATAAAATTTCTGTACTCAATCTATTTCTTCGTTGTGAGAATTGGATAATTAGCAGGAAACCAAAGTGCCCATACACTTCTCTGCTTTAAAGTTTACAGCAAGAGTTCCCTTTTTTTCTTCACCACTAAGAATTCCTTTGTTATTTTTTACTTCCGAAGACCATATATTTTGAAAGATTGTCTGGTACAAACTTGAAGTACTAAGTAACTTAATCATCTTTTATTTATCACCCATAAGTGATCTGTCATAGTTTTTGTGTTCTTTGAGCACAATTTGAAAACCATTATGTTCATTAAAGAGGTGAGTAGTCCTGGATTAAAATTACAGCATTGATAATTACTAATGGTGCAATACTGGGCACTTATTTGTACTCTAGCCTCTTCATTTTCAAAAAACCATGATCTCCACTTCAAAAAATAGGAAGATTAATGAATGTGAATGCTCTTATTATAACCCTGGGTCCACAGAATTACCACATGTTGAACTCTGTATTCTGTGAAGTATTTTAATATATCTGTGATTTTTATGCTGGGTGTAGGCAAAAATTAAACCTCAATATGGGTAATATATTATTACCCATATGATAGAGTGCTATTAGATACTAACAGGTGGTCTTTTGAAATAGTCTGTGTGGAAGAATGTATAGAAACAAAGCTATGATTGCTTCAACCTGCCTTATATATGAATAGAAATATTTTATGTTTTATTCTATGTGAATACTGATTTAATTGTGTTAACCAGTTTTATTGCAGTAGCAAGTTACAGAATTTGTAGATTTCAGTGATACCAACCTTGATCAGTGTTTTTAATCTGAGTGTTTGTCTCTTAAGTTTATTGTATACTATTGTAAGTATTCAAATAATAGAGGTTTTCTGTTATAAAATAGAGCCAAGAATCTAGGAAAGAAGAATATGAAACACTATATTGTCTGAAATAAAATTGCTTATACAAATTTTCTTGTTCTTGCCTTACAGTCCACGAGAATTGGAATGTCAGTAAATGCTATACGCAAGCAAAGTACAGATGAAGAAGTTACATCTTTAGCAAAGTCTCTCATCAAATCTTGGAAAAAGTTATTAGGTATGGTATAATTGCTCTTTTCTTGTATATATCTATAATTTTCTGGTTTATTCACATATTTAGTGTTGTATTTTTCTCTTAATGAATATAGATGTATTGCAGTCAGTGCCTTATAATAGAGCGGTGGACTTTAGCTTTACCTTGATGGTTTTGCTTTTTAGGGTAGTCAAATTTAGCTTTCTTTTCTTTTAATATTTATAACTGAATTGACTTGTTAAGTAAGAAGAAAATTTTTCCCCAAGGGAAAATTGTACATTTTGAAAAGGTTTTTGAAATAATTTTCTGACTTGTGAGAATGTAAAACTTAACTTGTATGTCATTTTTCTAGATCTTTTTTTTTTTTTTTTAAGATTTATTCATACAGAACTGGGGTACAAGCCAGAGGTGCAGGGGTGGTGAGAGGATTCACCAGAGACAGAGTGGGAAGCAGAACAGGCAGATGATCAAAGTACACTGCTGAGGGGAGCAGCAGGCGGGTCAGGAGAGGTCTGCCACGCCATGTGGATCTCCTCCGGGGCAGGCGGGGATCGAACTCATTCGGAAGTAGCTTGAGCTTCTTAGTGCAGTGTTTTAACCCGCTGCGCCACCAGGGAGGGCCCCTAGATTTATTTTTTATATTTGCCATATTTATTTTGTTGTGTTCTCTTTTTTTCTACATAGCATACACAATTTCATGTTTGTGTGCCACGTGTGTGTGTGTGTGTATTTAAAATACTTATTTTCTTGTCACTACACCACTCAGGTATAGTTCCTATGTTTCTCCCACCATAGTCTCTTGTGCTCTTTCCTCCTTTCTCTTGACCCTCCTCCCTCCCCTTTCCTTGCTATATGCCTCAAATATATAGCCAGCTTGGAAGTTTTGTCTTTTTTTTCTGACCCTTTGTTTGGATCCTCTAAATTCCACATATAAGTGAAACCATCTAGTATTTCTCTTTCTCCTTCCAGCTCACTTTGCTTTGTAATCCCTTCCATCTCCATCCATGTTGCTACAAGTGATGTGAGTTTATCTTTTTTTGATTGCTGAGTAATATTCCATTATATATATATATATATATATATATATATATATATATATACCACATCTTCTTGATCCAATCACCGTTTGGAGGCATTTAGGCTGTTTCCATATCTTGGCTATTGTAAACAGTGTTACAGTAAACACAGGCAAGCAGATTTCCTTTCTAATTAGTGTTTTTGTATCCTTGGCTAGATTCATGGGTGTGGATTTGCTGGGCTGAATGATAGTTCCATTTTTAGTGTTTTGAAGACTCCACATGTCATTCTATATGACCAGACCAGTTTGCATCCCACCAGCAGTGTAAGAAGGTTCCATTATCACATCTTCATCAGTATTTGTTGTTCTGATTTTTTTTGTTGTTGTTAATATGGGTCATTCTTACCAGTGTGAGGTGATACATTGTTAATAAGTGATATTGAACAATTTTATAGACCTTTGGTCATTTGGGTTTCTTCTTTAAGAAGTATCATTTTAGTTATTCTGCCATTTTAGTTCTTCTGCCCGTTCTTTGATTGAATTGTTTGCTTTTTTTATATTGAGTTGTATGAGATTTTTGTAGAACTTTGATATCAGTCCTTTACCAGATATATAGTGGGCAAATATTTTCTCCCATTCCATGGAATATCTCTTTGGTTGTCTCTTTTGCTGTACAAAAGCCTTTTAAATTGATGTAGACCCAGGTGTTTATCTTCTCCTTTGTTTTTCTTGCTTCTGGAGAAGATTTCTCAAAGAGGTTTCTGAAGTTTTTGTCATGGAGTGTTTTGCCTATGCTTTATTCTATGTATTTTGTGGTTTCCCATCTTACATTCAAGTTTTTGTCCACTCTGAGTTGATTTTTTGTGTATGGTGTGAGATAGTGATCTAATTTCTTTCTTGTGCATGTGTCAGTGTAGTCTTTCCAGCACCATTTACCGAAAACACTTTCGGTAAATGTTTATCTCTTTTGCTCCTTTGTTCTAGATTTGATGACTCTATATGTGTATTTTTATTTCTAGGCCTTTGGTTCAATTCCTTTGATCTATGTATAGTTTAATGCCTGGAAGTATAATGCCTCATTTTCTTCCTTTTTAGTCAGAAGAACTTTGGTTTTGTGATTTCAACAATATTGTTCTTTGAAGAACGCTGTGAGATTTTTTTTTTAAAGATTTATTTATTTATTCATACAGAACTGGGGTACAGGCCAGAGATGCAGAGGGTGAGAGGATTCACCAGAGACAGAGTGGGGAGCAGAACAGGCAGATCTACGAAGTACACTGCTGAGGGGAGCAGCGGGCGGGTCAGGAGAGGTCTGCCACGCCATGTGGATCTCCTCTGGGGCAGGCGGGGATCGAACTCATGCGGAAGTGGCTTAAGCTTCTCAGTGCATTGCTTTAACCCGCTGTGCCACCAGGAGGGCCCCGCTGTGAGATTTTTTAATGGAATTGCATTGAATCTGTAAAATGATTAAGGTAGGGTGGCCATTTTGATAATGCTGATTCTTCCTTTCCATGGACAGGGACTGTCTCCATTTCCATTTCTTTGTGCATAATTTTTTTATTTCCAAAACTACTTTATTATGTTGTTTTTAATATCCTTTGTACTTTAATTCTGAAGTGTGGCATATCTTTGGAACAAGTTTGTTTTCTCATACAGGAAATTTAACATTGGTACAGTACTTTAATCTCCAGTTAATAGTGTTGTTTGTTGCCCTAGTAATGTCTTTTATAGTTTTTTCATTCTTCTTGCCAGGTAAGATCCAATCTAGACATATCAAGTCTCAGAATCTAAAATAGTTCTTAAATCTCTTCATATCTTTATGACAGTGGTGTTTTGTAGAATGTAAGCACCCCTAATTAAGGTGTACACTCTTTTTTTTAATTTTATCTAATAGGCATTCTTTGGTGCCAAGTTTGAGACCCCGAGACTTACTCCTAATAAGTCCCCAGATCCCAAGGAGCCTTGGAGTGGAACCTGTAAGCAACCTTGATAGAATAAGCTCTGGCAGACCAGCAAGCCTCTGAGTAGGAACTGCAGATAGTCTAGATGTGGTATGTCCCAGGAGGCAGTAAGTGGTCCATGCCCCATCAAGGATATAGATGTGGTAAACCCTGGCAGAGGCAGTGGCTATACCTGGTCACCACTAGTGCTTACTCTTGAAGCAGTGTCCCTGGTAGCAAAGGCAGTCCCATGGTTAGGGAGGGAGTGATTATTTCCTGGACAGCAGGTACTTCAACAGCATAGTCACTGAGAAGGTTCACACTGCATCAAACTGGTTATGGACAGTGAGAGGAATATGGATGTTGTGGTCCTAAGTAGGGGAAGCTGGTGACAAGGCTGTCAGTTCAAGCTAGGGAACCTGAGGAGGAAGGAATGGAGGTTGTGTAGAGGTGTCCTTGATGGAGAGAAAAACATAAAGTAGCTGGAGTGCTCCATACGGCTGAGTAAAAGATAATAGCACAGCAAATGTTCTGATCTGGATTCCCCGACTAATTCTTTGGGACTGGTACTTTCCTTGCAAGGCATACTGAGAGCACAGGGACTGGCTGATTTACTCATCCCAAATGTCAGAATAGTGCCTTCAGGAGTGCCACAAAACAGATCTGAGTACATACAGATGCCAGTAAAGGCATGATAGATAAATAAATAAATAAGTCAGTAAATAAATAAATAAAATCAAGACTATTGTAAAATTATTTAATTCCCTGCAAAATGGGCTCACAAAAAAATATAAAATTATAAGGTAAGAATAATGCTCCTGTGTTCTATATTCTATGGAGAGGGATGTGGAGACATGGATAAATGAGAATTGAATTGTTTATATAGTTCTTACTGTGCAAGGATCAAAATGTAGATGAGTAGGGGTAATTTATACAATATACCTAAACATTTTCTGAACTCGGCTTCAAGGCTGTTTTGATTGATTTAAAGGTGGTTGTTTTAAGTGCTAAAATACTGTATTTGCATAGCTTACTTTACAATTTTCCTCAAGTCTTATTTACTCATCTTAAGTCTTAAAGGTTATGTATCTTTATTACTTCATAGATTACACCATGGTGGTTGGTAGGCCTTGAGGTATTTTCTACAAAAATGTTTACTATTCCTGAAATAGTATTTTTATTTTGGGTACTATGTTAAATGTTTTGAATTCATGAAAAGGTATACTTTGTGCATTCTATTTTAAAAGTAACTATACAGAACTTTTTTCCATTTCTTTATTCTGTATACTATTTTCCATTTCTTTATTCTGTATACTTGCTTTTAGGTTCTTGTTGATATAAACTTGAGGTTTCCACTAAATGAAGGAATTTATTTGTGAATACTTACTAAACATAGCACACATTGTGAAAAGTACCAAGGAACACATGGTAATAGAATAACTTGCATAAATTTCATTTTCCTGTTGAAAATTTAGGTTTGTTTTTTTTTTTTAATTTTATAAATAGTCTGATTGGTATGAGTAGCTTTTCTTTTTTAAGAAGTGATAATACCTAGGGATTTCTTAAATTTTTAGATGGGCCATCAACTGATAAAGACCCTGAAGAAAAGAAAAAAGAAACTACAGTTACATCACAGAATAGTCCTGAAGCAAGAGAAGAAAGGTATTTTGCTTTATGGAAATTCCATTATGTTGAAAAAAATCAGTTTTATTTTCCCATCACTTCCTCAGTGGTCATAACTGAATTTACTATCCAAATGGGATTAGTAAGTAAACACAGCCAAATATTTTACTTATTTATTGTTTAAGATTTATTTATTTATGCATAGAGAACTGGGATACAGGCCAGAGGTACAGGTGGTGAGAGGAATCACCAGAGACAGAGTAGGGAGCAGAATAGGCAGATGTACTTAAATACACTGCTGAGGGGAGCAGCGGGTGGGCCAGGAGAGTTCTGCTCTGTTCCTTCATAGTGCTGTGCTTTAACTTGTTGCTCCACTAGGGAGGGCCCAAGAGTAGAATTTTTAAATACTGGCATTTTTATAGTTTAATGACTCAATTCTTACCAACCATGATTTTTAATCTTGAAGATCAGGTGTTTTAAATATAATTTAAATATAATTTGCATATGTTGCCTGGCTGAAACAAGTTTTTCAAACATTTTCTCCCCTCTGTTTTGACTGAGAATATCATTCTTCTCTCCTAATTTCCAAGGCCCTTCCTTTTTTATTGTACTGGTCTGTACTGTGTATTTCCTTTATTACAAAATACTGCTGAATCAGTATACGAGACTTGTCTCTTAGCTTTATTGAAATTTTAACTTCTTTTTAATGTACGTACAGGCAATTTTTTTCTCACCTAAGAATCATTGAAATACTGTCTCATTTATTAAGGTCAAAATTTTTACTTACAGAGTGATCGTAGTAATGTTAACTTAAAGTGAAATTTTCCTGATATCTTTTTGATGTGTATGTTCATTTTAGTAGCTCCAGTGGCAACGTAAGCAGCAGAAAGGATGAAACAAATGCTCGTGATACCTATGTTTCATCTTTTCCTCGGGCACCAAGCACTTCAGATTCCGTACGGTTAAAGTGTAGGGAGATGCTTGCTGCAGCTCTTCGAACAGGAGGTAGGTTTAATGTATGTTGCTCATCTCTTTGACCACCACTGTCCATGTCCATCTCCATATTTTTATTTTATGAATGGCATCTTGTTGATAGCTGTACACTGCTGCTCAGCTCAGGAGTTACTAAAGGCAGAGAAGTAGGTATATGGGGCTTCTACTATTAAGTGTATAACCCAAAGGAATAGATTGCTTCTGTTACAAACTCATCTCAGAGGTATCGCAGATTTGGTTCTGTAGACTTGGTGCTGTACATAGGGTTGTCACAGACCTATTGTAAAAAAACAAAACAAAATGAAAAGCACCCATGAAATTTATTAAGTGTAGTAAAGTGACATGCAATAAAATAAGGTATATCTGTATATGGATGTTTCCCTGCTTCATAGATACATAAACTATTTCTCACAAATGTGTGAGAAATGGGGGAAATTTTTCCATATTAAATCTATAAATGTTTATACCCAGAGTGAGTGTTAATGATACTGTATTTGGACCCCATTGTTAAATATCACTATGACATGTAAAATACAATTTGTATTTATAATTCGATCTTCTACTTTTTTTGAGTGAAAAAGAGAACTTGATTTATATATGGAAACTTTAATTTGAAGGTATTCACTCTTACATAAAATTTTGACTTTAAATTTTCATACATAGAAAAATTGTCTTTACACAAATTCATCCTTTTTCTTTTATGTTGAACCATGGTTAGTATGACTGTTTTCCCCCTTATTCTGTCCTTTCTGCTCTGTTACTGTCTTTTTATTGTTTTTCTTTATTCTTATTTCTTTTTATTTCCTTTTATCCTTTGAATATTTGCATAGGAGTCTTCTGAGTTTGTGCGTATATGTGATTGGCAGATGAAATGAATGGTTTCTTTGCTTTGAAGTCTGACTCACAGGAGACAAGACAGTTCTTTTTATAACTTTCTCTGCTCTCTGCTGGATCAACCAGAATTTATGGAGTTATGAAATGAGGAATTGCCTGCTAGATCAATTACTTCCCCACACCTGAGGGATAAAGAATCATCAATTCAGGAACACTGTGGACATTAGGTGAATTCAGAGGAAGAGTCTAGTGGGTAGTAAAGAAACCAGACTCTAATGAAACTGTACTAAAAGGATTTTTTTATATAAGGCAAGTGGGATCGAGGATATAGGAATGCAATTTAATTTACTCTGTATTGACATTTTCTTTTCATGTTGTACTCACTCTTTGTGTCTGTGTCTAGATGACTATGTTGCTATTGGAGCTGATGAGGAAGAATTAGGATCTCAAATTGAAGAAGATATCCTTTGTGTATATATTCATATTTGTTTTTATTACATATATGTTTTTAAGTAATATGTTCATATTTATATTTTTCCTTCCTGTATAGAGTTCAACATTTTAATCCTTAGTTTCTATCTTGATTGTATTGTTTTGATGGGAAGGAGAGGGCCATCTTTGTCATTTTATTCCATTTTCTTGTCATTCAGAAATAAAGCACATAAACATTGATAATATTTTTATTTTTCTATCCTACGACTTGAGTGCAGCATCTCAGTTGAAGTTGTGGAAATGAGTATGGAAAACGTAGATATTAGAAAGTTTGATGTAAGATTTCACATTTGGGACTAATTTAGCAAAGCATACAAAATGCTTTGAGCTCATTATCATGAGGGATGTGTGTTGGGCACCATACAAAGAGCTCTGCTCTGGAAGTGGGGTCTTGAATTTGAGTATGGAGAACAGGGAACATCTAAGTGATAGTTGGGCCAACCTATTTGAGAAAATGATGTCGATGGAAAGGGAACAAATGTGGCCAATTCTTTTGAGAACTACCTGCTAAACTAGCTTCTTGTTGAACGAGGGGAAAAAAGAACTTTCACTCAGAAATTCTGCATTAACACTTTTAGTATACTTGTTGAAATTCAAATTTGGGCATCTATAAGTTCTTGAACTTTCTGTTTGAAAATGTTCATTTTCAAAAGTTTTCTCATCAACCTGAATTACAGTTTGAAACCTTATTAATATGTGTGCTGCTGGTTGGTATTAAAGAAGAACATTGTTCATTCATAGCGTAAAAATACCATTTTTTAAATTTGTAATTGCTAATCAAGGTATCAGGCAGAAACAGTGACTGTATCTAAGCTGAATATAGTTTTTGTGAACTGCTTAGAAATGTTAGGAATTCTTTTAGGCAGAATAAGGAAAATGATCTCTGTAACCTTTTTCCTTAATGGCCTAGTACCTATATATCAAGAAATAAGAAATACAGACATGAAATACAAAAATAGAGTACGAAGTAGGATATCAAACCTTAAGGATGCAAAGAATCCAAATTTAAGGAAAAATGTACTGTGTGGGAATATTCCTCCTGACTTATTTGCTAGAATGACGGCAGAGGTGAGTATATCTGACTATTTCCATGATGTGATTTCATTATATCAAGTGTAAAGTCTGATTAAGTCATAAAGTGTTATTATAAATAAGACATAGAAAGAAACTTTAATTTTTTATATTTGGATAAAATTCAAAAAAATTATTTTAATAATATAATTGTTTGTTTTTACATCATTTTGTGCCTTTTTCCATCTCAGTTATAATCTCCGTGGGCTTCCCATCTCCAAATCACCCTGTGCCATCACTATAGTCCAGTGCACTTCCCCCACCCACTGTTTTTGACCCCATTCCCCACTCCACCCCTGTAAAATGTCTCTGGTATATAGTTGTTCATTATTACTATTATTTTCTCCTCTGGTTCTTTATACTCCTGCTATGAATGAAACCATCCGGTATTTTTCCTTTTCTTTATGGCTTATTTCACTAAGCATGATTGCTTCCAGCTCAATCCATACTGCTGCAAAAGGCATGTGTTTATTTTTTTTGTTGCTGAGTAATACTCCATTGTGTATATGAATCACATGTTTTTAATCCAGTCATCTACTTTTGGGCATTTGGGTTGTTTCCATGTTTCTCCAATTGTACATAATAAAGCAGCAATAAACATGGGGGTGCAGGTATCTTTTTGAATCATTGTTTTTGTGTATTTTGGGTAGATACTTAGGAGTGGGATTGTTGGGTCACAGGGAAGTGCCATTTTTAGCAGTTTGAGAAACTTGTGGAGGTTTTTTTAACATGTGCCATTTTCATGACTATGAAACGGTGTATCTCATTGCAATTTGAAAAATCTACATATGAAAAAATGATAAATATTTTGGCCTTTAGTGAATCATCTGTTCATATCTACTGCTCATTATTTAGTTGGGTCATTTATTTTCTTATTTTGAATTGTATTTCAGTTTTTATATATTTGGGGATTAATATATCTGTTGTAGATTATGTAAACATTTCCTCTGATTCAGTAGAATGTCTTTTATTTTTTTTTCCTAAGATTTATTTACACATACAGAACTGGGATACAGGTCAGAGGTGCGGAGGTTAGGCGGTATTGGGGTGAGAGGATTCACCAAAGAGTGGGGCACAGAGCAGACAGATCTATGAAGTACACAGCGGGAGGATTAGGAGAGGTCTGCCGCACCATTGGGTCACCTCTGGGGTCGGAATGGAACTCATGCTGAAGTAGCTTTAGCTTCTTAGTGCTGTGCTTTAACCCACTGCACCACCAGGGAGGGCCCCTTAAATGTCTTTTTTAATTGTCTTGTACATTTTCTTTTGCTGGTTAGAAACCTTTTAACTTGAGGTAATCCCAATTGTTATTTTGGTTTTTAGGCCCTTGCTATGGGATGGAGCCACTAAAGAATAGCTGTAGGGTGGAGCCACTAAAGAAGTAGCTTTATTATCCATACCATGGAAACTATATTGCCAATGTTGTCTTCTATGTATGTTTTTGTTGTGGTTCCTGTATTTAAATTGTAATTTATTTGGTGGGTGTTTTTGTTTTTTTTTTGTGTGTGTGTATGGGATTAGCATGGGATCCAGTTTCATTCTTTTATGTGTAGCTTTCCAGTTTTCCCCATTACCATCTATTAAAGATGCTGTCCTTACCCAGTTTTATTGTCAGTAATTTTTGCACATTGATATGTACATGGGTTTATTTCTGGCCTTTTGAATCTGTTCTATCACAATATGTATCTTTTAGTGGCCAATGTCATGATTCATAGTAAAGTTTTAAGTCAAGTAAGGTAATACTTGTTCCTTTTTTTCTTGTGGTTGCTTTTGCAATTCATGGTTTTTTGTGGTTCTGTGTGAACTTCAATATTTTTTGTTCAGTGTCTGAAAAATATTGCAAATTTTTTCATTTTAATTTTACAAATATTCAAACATATACTTAAATATTTGAAACATTTTGATTTGGATTGTGTTTATGTATTTTAGGCAGGATAATCATTTTGATTGAATTGATTCTTTCAGTCCATGAGCATGAGCATATATCCCATCTTATTTCATGAAGTCTTTGAGTAACTTCTTGTAGTTCTTACTATCCAGGTCTTTTTATATCCTTAGATTGATAACAAGTTATTCTTCTTGAAATATTTATAAATGGAATTATATTCTTAATTTCTTTTGTCTTTTGTTTTATGTTGTTTTTGTAATCTGTGTTTGCTTATTGTTTCTAATAACTTTTTGATGGCATCTTTAGGATTTTCTGTAAGAAATACATTGCTTGTGTATAGTGGTAGTTTAGCTGCTTTTCCAACTTTGGTCCCCATTATTTCCTGTGTTTGATAGGTCTGGCCAAAACTTTTTAAGTACTGATTTAAATGGAAGTGGTGACAGTGGACCCCTTGTTTTGTTCCCAGTCTTAAGTTTTGTTCCCAATCTTAAAGTGAAAGCTTTCAGTTTTTCACCTTCTATAACTGGCTCTTAGTTTGTGACATGTGGTCTTTATTATATTGAGGGGAGTTTCTTCTGTTTCCATTTTGTTTAGAGTTGTTAGCATAAATGTGTGCTGAATCTTACCAAAATGTTTTCTTTGTCTGTTGATATTATAACATGATTTTTATCTTTACTGTTGTTGATAAGATGTATTACAAATAAATGATTTTTTCTATATAGTAGACAATTCCTGCATCTCTGGGATAAATCCCACATGATCATGGTGTGTGATCTTTATGATATACTGTTGTATTCAGTTTAGTATTTTATTGAAGCTTTTGCCATTGCTGTGCATCAGGAATATTGTCTTAAATCAGTTTTGTGTGTGTGTGTGTGTGTGTGCTCTGTATTTGTCTAATTTTGGAATAAGGCTAATGTTGACATTGCAGATGTTTTAGGGAGCATTCATTATACTTGTATGTTTAAAACAATTTGAATAAGACGGGTCTTAGTTCATTGAAGGTTTGATCATTTGTTTATAAAACCATGTGTTCACAAGCTTTTGTTTTGGGGAAGGGGTTTTTTTTTTTTAATTATTGTTTTAATTTCCATGCTTGTGGATGGAATTCCATGTCCATTGTCTTATGTGTTACCTCTATTATTATTTTTTTGTCTGAGGGTTCTACTGAGAATAGTATATGATGGTTTATTTGTGTCACCTGTTCTGTAGTCTACTCTTTGGTTCTGATCATGTTACTTTTCTTCTCCATGTTACATGATAATAGGGGTTTGTTGCCTTGATATTTGTTATTTTACTTTATTTTAACCCCTTTAGAATTTCTTTTATGTATAGGTTGGTGTGATAAATTCTTTAATTTTTAATTCTTTAATCCTTTTGTGTTGAGTGTTAATCTTGGTGTGTAAAGGATTCTGGACTGGGATTTCTCTACCTTAAGTACCGTCTTTTAGTTACTTTGTACTTGTAATGTTTGTGCTGAAAAGTTTGTTGACACTATAATTGGTTTTTCTTTTATAGGTTAGCCATTTTTTCCCCTGATGTTTTTAATCTGGCCTTGTCATTGGTTTTCAAAAGCTTTATTAAAGCTTGGTATCTTACTATACTAAAGCTTGTCTTGCTGTGCACCTGCCTGATAGTATTTTGTTTGGAATTTTTTGGGTCTCTTGACCTTCTGGTCTCTTTCCCAGATTGAGCTGATTTCCAGCAATTATTTCTGTAAATAAATTTTCTATGTCTTTCTCTTTCTCCTCTTCTGGGACTCCCCTGATATGAATGTTACATCTTTTTAAGTTGTACAAAGAGCTCTTACGTTATTTTCAATTTTATTTTTTCTCTACATTGTTCTGTTATATTTGTGTGTTCTCCAGCTTTGTGCATTCAGACTTATTAATTCTCTTTATTGCTTCTGTTTGTCTGCTGTTGAGATCATCACTTGAACTATTAATAATAGCTATGGGGTTTTGTAATTTCTAATTGCTGTATTTTCTTTGTCTTCATTCTGTTTTGTTTCATATGTTATGGTGTTATACTACCCTGTTATGACTCTATCAGAATTCACCCAAAATTTTCCTTCCCTTTCTATTGAACAGTTGCTTCTGGTGTGTTTTGTGGTGGCTGCTTTTTCGTCAGGGGCTTTGGTTTTGTTTTACTGCAGTTTACTTTTGAGTATCTGAAGAAGAGTGAGTCTAGTATCTTCTTTACTCTGCCACTATCTTGCTGAATTCCCTGCTTCTAAAAGTTCTGGAGAAAATGAAATTAATAGTTTATAGACCTAGTTGTTCATAGAGAATAGTAGAAGTGTGTCTACAATATAATTTCTTTTATTAATCATACAGATGATCAAATTTGTCTTTCTGTATAGCTTAAAAATTGCTATATTTTCAAATATATTTCTTAAAAGCATTAGTAAAAGATTTAAAACCTCCACACAATAGAAAATATAGTGTCATGAAATTCCTTATGTATGTCATTCACATTTCATGTATTTTTAATAATTTGTCACTCTTGCATCTACCTTTTATATATTTTTTCAATTAATTTTAAACATTTTCTGACAGTGTATTCTTTTATCTCTACATACTTGGAAGATATGTATAAAAAGATACATGTTTAGCTCTAAATTTAACTCTACCCCTAACCCCTTTTTTATCTTCATAACTTGATCTGGTGAAGAAACTTGTCTATTTTTTCTGGATCCTGCCATATAAATGTTATGCTGTATATTATCGTAATGTTATTTATTATTTTTTGTTCCTTCTATTTTCTGTAAACTGGAAGCTAGTTCTATAGACTTGATTACATGCCAGTTTAACTGTTTCTTTTCTTTCTTTTGTTTTTTGTATAACTGCAATCTAAATGTACTTTTTACTTTGTATTGCCTCCATGAGATACACATAATATCTTGTTGGTCTGCTCTTAACATGCTGAAATTGATATGGTCTTTTGGGAACTGACAATCTGACTCCTCTACTGCAAAGTTCCTTTCATCTAGTATATAATATTGTAAAACTTGGTTTCTCAAATTTTGTCATATTTTCATATTTATTAGCTAGGTTTATTTGATAAAAAGCACATTCCCTTATCAACTTGGACTCTCTTTTAACCCTGTTGGTTTTAATTGTAAAAGCAGTGTAAATGTGTAATTCTTTCCCTATAATTAATAATTATTAGAATGAGTTGATACCCGTAACTGCAAATGTGGCTTTCGTTGCTATTATTTCTAAGTGTGTGCACTGTTTTTTTGTTTTTTGTTTTTTTTAAGTGTTATGGACACAGTCATAATGGAACAGTTGGGATTGGTTTTTTACAGTAATTGATTTTGGAAACTGAACATACTATTCTATCTTTAACTGCACATTAATTCCTCTGTCCATTTGAATCAACCTCACTAGTTTTTGGTGGTTTCCATGCTTTCTGCCACAAGATGTCCCTGGCTTATCTTGCTCATTTCTTGATGAAAAAGTTGAACCTGACATTTCTTCAAAGTTCCATGATTCCTTTTTTGGTACATAAGGTTGAAGTCAGTTGTAGAGCCCACAGTTTATATACTAGAGATGCTTATTGCTACTTGATTACATTGTTTACAGATCTAAACAGTAACAAAATCCAGTTTTCACATGCAAACTTAGACATATTTGAAAAGATTTTAAAAGAAAGCAAACTCTTTATCAATCATTTGAGGAAAAATATTAATATTTCCTTTCTTTTTAAAAAGATTGATTTATTTTGTGTAGAAGAACTGGGGTGTAGGCCAGAAGTACCAGTGAGGGAGATTGAGGATAAAGAGGATTCACCAGACACAGAGTGGGGAGCAGAACAGGTATGGATCTACTGAAAGAACTGCTGAGGGGAACACTGGGCAAAACAGGAAAGGTCTGTTGTTCCGTGTGGATTAGCTCATGCCCTAGTGGCTGACCATAGCTTCATAGTACTGAGACTTTAATCCCTGCGCCACCAGAGAGGCCCTGGTTTCCTTTTTTAAGAACCATTAAACTTTATTTTATTATTACTAACTTATTTGAGCATGCTATCATTTAGGATATATGTATATAGAAGATGCTTTTAACTGACTGATTTTGCCACCTGCTTGATAGGAAATGGCTAGTGATGAGCTCAAAGAGATGCGGAAAAACTTGACCAAAGAAGCCATCAGAGAGCATCAGATGGCTAAGACGGGTGGAACCCAGACTGACTTATTCACATGTGGCAAATGTAAAAAGAAGAATTGTACTTATACACAGGTTGGTGGTTATTTATGTATTTTTATGCTTGTATAAGAATACTTGTAATTCATCTTTTAAAACAAGTAACACGTAGCACTACTATTGCTTTGTTTTATGTATTTTAAGAGGTATGAGAATACTTCATTAATACAGATTCCAGTAGCTCAAAATAAGTTGAAGTATATATACATTCATAGAAATTGTTAAAGCTGCGTTGTTAAATAGAATTTACAAAACATTATAAGTTTAATAAAATAACCATATTCTCTTAAGAGTTCATAAGCAGATGATTATTGCTTAATATGTTAAAAGGCTATATATAGTTGGGTTTTTTTTTTTAATTTGGCTGGATTAAGGAAAATTCTTTGTATGTGTAGTTTAATTGTGTATCAGGATATTTATTCTGGTTGTTGTTTTTTATTTAACATCTTGATGAGTTGTTTTCATATGTGATGTGACTAATATTCCTTTTTGTTCTTCAGTAGCTGAAAAAGAGTCATGCTAGAATTATTTTGGTTTTATGTTCTTATGTAGAATTTATTTATTTTTATTTTATAGCAGTTTATTTTTACATCATTTGTGAAATTTTTTTAAAAGATTTAATCATTTATGTGTACAGAACTGGGGTATAGATAAGAGGTGCACAGGTGGTGAGAGGCTTCACTGAAGACAGTGAGGAACAAAACAGGCAGATTGATGAAGTGCACTGCTGAGGGGAGCAGCAGGCAGGTCAGGAGAGGTCTGCCATGCCATGTGGTTGCCTCCAGGGCAGGGATCGAACTCATGCTGAAGTGGCTTTAGCTTCTTAATGCTATGCTTTAACCTGCTGTGCCACGAGGGAGGGCCATGAAATTTTTTAATTGCTGTCATTAATTTTATTTGCCCAACTAGATTTTTGTATGTGTCTATAATCAAATGTATTTTTTTTTTTTCCTGAAAGAACAACTTGTTACCATGTTACAAGGTAATGTATTTAGGGAATTGAAGTTTTGTCTGGGAAAAAAAAATACTTAGGAATTATAACTTAAACAAAAAAACAACATTACTAAGGTCTGTATAAGTAGTAGTAAGAAACCATTACTTTAAAAAAGTATTATTGAATATTTTTAAGGTTAAAATTTCAAAGTATAAAAGATTATGAGTGTAACGTTCCCCTCCCACTTTTGCCTGCAGGTACATAGTTTTAGTTCTCACTTATACAACGAGTGGCATCAAGTCTTCATTTTCTTTTTTTAACATTAACCAAGATAAAGACTTTTTAAAATGGGTTTGCTTTATTATTATAATCACTTTTTTTTTTAAAGATTTATTCATTCATGCATATAAGAACTGGGGTACAGGCCGGAGATATGGGGGCCGTGGTGAGAGGGTTCACAGAGTGGGATGATGAATGGGCAGATCAAGTAAAACACACTGCTGAGGGGAGCAGCAGGCAATTCAGGAGAGGTCTACCATGCCATGTGGTCAGCTCCCTGGCTGAGGATTGAACTTGTGCTGCAGTGGCTGCAGATAGCTTCATAGTGCTGCACTTTAACCCCTTGTGCCACCAGGGAGGGTCCCAAAGACTTTTTTTTTTAATTAAACTAACATTTATTTACAATGCTTGTATGTGATTTGGGGGAATAGTTTCACTCCTCTTCAGATGTATGTCACAACACCACATCCAACTCCCAGGAATATAATTTACACATAACAAATTCATTAACAAAGGAGGCATTCAAACATATTGCTGCTAAAAGTGGTGATATATTTGGGGGGCCAGATTTCAAATTATATAATACTATCATTCATGAAGAGTTTGTGGCATATTGTGGTAGTATTCAGGTTGTTAACTCAGAAAACAGAATTTTTTGACTGAGGAAAGCCTGCTGAATTCATCTAGACTAGGTTCTTTCTGTTAATGGAAACCTGTTTGGTTTTTTGTTTTGTTTGTTTTTGTTTTTAATTCTTAACTATTTAATTATGGCTACAAAAATATCACTTCTACTTTGGTATATTTTGAAGAAACTGAATTTTAAATACCTTTCTCTTTATACTTAATATGTTCTAATATGTGATATTTTCAGGATAGAATTTTTTGCTGAGATTTTTCTCTATTTGATAGCAAACATTTATAAAGCTATTCAAACAGTTTTCTGAGACTGCTCTCTAATGTTGATATATTTCAGTAATTATCAGTACTATACTTCTGCAGAATAAGATACTGAGATGTCAGATTTACATGTATGGCTATATGAGAAGTTTTTTTAAACTTAAGAGAATTTAGATTGGGTAAATACAGTACTATAGTTGAAAATGGAATGTTGTGTGCTTTTGTTACTGAAAAAGGCATGAGCTTATACATTAACACATGTGTTTTATAAATAGGAAAATCAAATAAGTCTATATTTGCATATATTTACATCAAGCATATAGAAAGCCACACAACAGTAATTCTATGAAAGGAAACTAGATACTACAGGCAAAGGCATGCTAATCTTGCTAAAATTAGAAATTATAGTTTAAAATAGAATTGATACTTCTGATTCTTTTTGCATTTTGAAGTCATCTCTTTCACATTATATAGGCTATCCTCTTAAAAATTTCTGCTTTAGGATAAATTCACTCTAGTCTTGCTTTTAGGTTAGTTGCAAACAAAATGCCTTATTTGTTGTACAGACAGCAAAACATGGACTTTAAATGGAAAACACTAGAAGTCAAAATCAAACTATATTTAGAATGAAAGCTTTGGCATTAGCTTATATTGTTAGTAAACTATACAGATATGGAAAGTTAGATATGTAATGTTACCTTTCAAGTGCTGATTTTTCCTTTTCTATTGTCTACATTCAGCATTTAGTAATACTGCCAATAGATATAGCTCTACCAATAAATATATTTATAATATCTTAATCATACACACAAAATTCTATCTTTTCATAGAAAACTTGTAAAGTGGTAAAATTGACAACAGACACAAAATACTTGAGTGTGATTTTTTTTTTAAAAATGTATTTATTTGGCCCTTCCTGTTGGCGCAGCCAATTAAAGCACAGCACCAAGATGCTTAAGTCACTTCCGCATGAGTTCAATCCCCGCCTGCTCCAGAGGAGATCCACATGGCGCGGCAGACCTCTCCTGACCCCCCTGCTGCTCCCCTCAGCAGTGTACTTCGTCGATCTGCTTGTTCTGCTCCCCACTCTGTCTCTTGTGAATCCTCTCACCCTCCACATCTCTGGCCTGTACCCCAGTTCTGTATGAATAAATAAATAAATTTAAAAAATATATATATTCATACAGAACATGGGGTTACAGGCCAGAGCTGCAGGGGCAGTGCAAGAATTCACCAGAGAGAGAACAGGGAGCAGAACAGGCAAACTGATGAAGTACACTGCCGAGGGGAGCAGCAACCTGGTCAGGAGAGATCTGCTGCAACATGTGGATCAGCTTCAGGCCAGAGGTGGCTGAAGTGGCTGCTGGGAGCTGGCAGTGCTGAGTCCTAACCCGTTGCACCACCAGGGAGGACCCTTGAGTATGGTTTTCATGTACCCACCAGAATTTTTCCAAAGGTTTTTCATATCTACTTTTAAGCCTCTATATAGCAATATTAAGTTTATGTAAAATATTTTAGGATTTTTCAAATCATTTTATTTCAGTACCTTCAATAAACAGCATGCTGTTATTTTGAGAATAACTATATCTTTAGACTGTTGAATTCTAAAAAAATCATATTGATAGTTTAAGGGTATCATGAAACTTCTGACTTTGGAATTGATGAAATACTTGGATTGAAACTAAATTTAAATAAACCCAACTCAAAATGCAGTATTATTTCATTTTTAGGTTCTCCCGTCTTCCTCTTCTTCCCCATAATTAACCTGATGTAATAAACATGAAAAAGAAGGAAGGACTTAGAAATTTGAAGTTTGGAATGTATATTCTTTTGATATTACTTATCTTATTTGAACATTTCAGAATCACCATTTTATATATACCACCTCTGTTTTTCCAGGTTGTGTTGTTGGGTACTTAGGTTGTTTCCATAGGTTGGCCAGTATAACTTGCATTGGTGGTTCAATGGTAGAATTCTCACCTGCCATAGGTTGGCCAACGTAAATGTTGCTGCAGTGAACATAGTGATGCATATGTGCCTTTGAATTAGTGTTTTTATTATTTTGTTTATTTATTTGAATAGATACCTAGGTGTAGAATTTCTGGGTCCTATGACTGATCTAGTTTTAATCTTTTGAGAAGCTACCATTCCATTTTCCATAGAGACTAGGCCAGTCTACAGTCCCATCAACAATGTATGAAGGTTCCTTTTTGTCCACATCTTTGCCAACATAATATAATATGTTCTTATTTAGGTTGAACTTTTTGTAATACTTTTTATAGTCTAAAAAAGTAAAATTTTTCACTTGATTTGCTGCAGGTACAGACTCGTAGTGCTGATGAACCAATGACAACATTTGTTGTCTGTAATGAATGTGGAAATCGATGGAAGGTATGGTTTCATTTTGGATTTGTGTTTTGTTTATTCCCCTATGTGTGTGACAAAGGGCATACACTACTGCTATTCAATTTTTGTTAAATTTTGACACATTGATAACGAAGTGCATAAAAACATGCCAACCCTAAATATGCCACTTTGGTATGTTGATTATTTTGAATTTTTAGGCAATTGAAAATAGCAACTTAAGGGAGAGACTTTCTCTTACCTCCTTTTTCCTCTCTCTACCTCCTACCTAAAGGCAGATCCTCCAAAAGGAACTTAATTGTTGTAAGGTCTTCTCCTTGGGAGTTCCTTTAATCCAGGGATATTCACTCATCATATACTATCACTCAGACAAATTAAGGCCAAATTTTTATATAATCCCATAAGGTGTGCTTTATAATTTACACTTAAAAATCATTTAAATTGGGATTGGAGGTGAGAAGTGGCTATATGCCTCTTAGGGAAGAATAAACTTTTTAAGAAAGGTGAATGGATCTTTCGAAAATAGATGTTTTACTCATTTATAATAATTTCACTAGTTATTTTCTTAAATGTACCTAGATACCTATCTTGACATTTAAATATATACATAGCTTCACATAGTCCAGTATTCTGGAAGACCTTGAGTAACCATTTGTAATGAAATATAAATTTTCTGTCTTTTAGAAATAGAACTTACTATTTTGATGCAGGAATAACAGCAATGAATCTTAAATGTGTTATTATCATAGTCCTGTGCTTCAGCTCTTAAACTTTTGGAAAATCTATATTTGTCTTATTCTGAAAGAATTATTTAATCTTATTGAAATTAAGTTGAGTGTTTTTCAGTCTTTATTTAGCAATTACAGATGAGTGTATTATGACTGAGTAGGCTTTTTTATTAGGACTTCGTATCACTTGTATATGTTGAATTAGTCAAAAAAGATGCAAGTCTGTGTTATTTAAATAACGTATTCCTTGTGATTTTTGTAAACCACAAAAAATAAAATTTAAAATTGAGAGAAGAATTACATATCAGTCCTAAGACTGTTCTTTTTATTAATACATGTGGGGAAGTTAGGAGAACTTGGCTCTTTGGAGCCAAACTGATTTTGAACATCTCTGCCACTTAGCATTACTGAACTATAATATTTTTAAAAAGATTTATTTTTACTTATTTATGCATACAAGAGCTGAGGTGTAGGCCAGAGGTGTAGAAGATAAGAGGATTCGCCAGAGACAGTGAGGAGCAAAACAGGCAGATGTACTGAAAACACTGCTGAGGGGAGCAGCAGTGGTGTGACAGCAAAGGTCTGCTGCGCTGTGTGGGGTGGCTCCTTGGCTTATGATCAGACTTGCTGCAGTGGCTGCTGATAGCTTGATAGTACTGATACTTAACCCTTGCACCACCAGGGAGGACCTGAACTATCATTTTTTTCATGTATATTAAATCACAGGCTGTAGTGAGAGTAGAGTTAATAAATTTAAACTGATAGCTCTTGGTGTTCTAGTCATGCTATTCATTTTTATTCACTTTTATGAAGTTTGTACAAGATTTTTTTTAAGTGACAGATTTTTCAGTTTAATGCTTGTTTTAAATTACTTACAGATTTAGATGTTCTCTGAAATCAGGAGTTGAAAACCAGACAATAGGGAAATATCCTCCACAAATACGGTTATTGGAATTGACTCTAGACACTATTTTAGAGGTTGAGATCAGTACCCATTTTATCATATAGAAAGATTTACTTCTGAGCTAGGAAGGTTACTAGCTATGAGAGCATCTTTGTAGTTTAAAATAGTCTATCCTGAGTTGGCAGAAATTTTTTACATTGGTTTAAAATGGACTTTCACTTTTTTTTTCCCCAATGTATAGCATATCTTCTTTTTTAGATAGCTTTTAGATTTGTTTTACATAATGGGTGACTATTATTAGTAGGTTATTGCACTTTGTTTTGAATATAGTCCATTTGCAGCATAAGTTCTGTACATGAAGTGCTGTATAGAAAACTGATGTCTAGAATGACTTACTCTTGAAGCTCAAGTTTGAAATTATTTTAACCTAAAAACATTTAGAAGTATTTCTTTATACATTCAAATTATTCATATTATTCTTAAGTATTATTTATACATTCAAATTATTCTAAGTTCTTATATTTTCATGTCTGAGAAATTTAGCATCCTTTTCAAAAATGTGTCTCTACCAATGTAAATGTATGCTGTATTAAATGGATGAAGGAGGAAACTTTATGTTCCATTGTTTGTATTTAAAAGTCTCACATAATATTTCTTCTTCTTCTTTTTTTTTTTTCTTTTTTTTTTTTTTTTTTTTTTTTTGACAGTTCTGTTGAGTTGGAAGAATTGGCAAAATGTCTGGACCACTAAGAAAATGGATTTTTGTAATTAGCTTTAAAGCTAGGCCAAGCAACTAGTTTCCTGCAAATCAGATTTTAAAAGTAACTATATCCCTTGAGTTAGTCTTTGTTTTTGACATAGCACCCCTTCCTACATGCCTTCTGTAGTTTCATTTCAGTAGGGAGACCTTATAATTGTATGGTATCTGTTTCAAAACATGTTTTTCTTTTTTTATAAGTAAGATGATATTAAACTTTTATCAACTAAACTTTGGGCAGTTAGTTTTTACTTTTTCTTCTTAAAGGAAACATACCTTAATATTTTGCCAGCCTGAAACTGAAATAAGTTATTCTTCTCAGTTAATACATAAATGAAAATTACATTTTTCTCCCATATTGTTATGTACTTAAAAATATTAAAGTAGAAGAGGCAGTATAATTTCAGGTTTACCAAATATGATGTGTATTCAAATAATACTTGACCAGTTTATCTAAATTGTACATAATATTTGAAATAGCATATGAAATTGATTTTAATTATTATGTTCACAAGTCTGGGATAATTGGATATTATTTTGCATTTGTAACTGATCATTTCTTGTAATTTCTTGTACATGTTTATTGTTCTTAATAGGTTTGACTTCAGAAACAAGGCTTGCTTTGTTGAAATCAGTTTGGTTTGTTGTTTATTTAGCTGTTTGACTTGTAGTGTATTTTAAGTTTACAGAAAACTATTTACTAGGCTTTTCGTTAATCCCAGCACAGAAAAAGAATGAAAGCATCTATTTTTCCCCCGTTATAGGAAGATATACTGAGAAGAGATGTTAGCTTTTTAGTGTCGTGAAGTTATTGTAAACAGTTCATAACTTGATTTTGAACGCTGTACTGACCAAGGGTTAAGTTTAGAACTGTGTTATTTTACAACTGTGGTCTTTCCATATGGAGGTTGATAGAAAATGTTTTTATTCAAAGTCATTTGTTGACTTTTTCTGTTACACAATGAATGCGATTGTAGGAGAAGCTGAATATATGGGCTATAATGCTATTCCTTTTACAGTACAGATACTATGATTACATTTACTTTTTCTTTAAGTAGGTACTATTTGTTCTGTTAGGAATAAGAAAAAATGATTTTCATGGTGTTCCTTAGGGTACAGTTGCCCTAGTACATCTTCAGTGCTACTGTTACAGAAGTCTACATTTTATCATGCTAAGTTTGTATTCTGTTAACCACCTATAGAAAGACCTCAGTATATATTTTGCATTCATTCTTCTTATTTTTTCCTCTTTCTTATTGCAAATTGATTTGATGGAATGCAGAAGACAACATTTACAGGTCCATGTTAAGTCTCCACATTTAAGAATTGGCCCACTGGTACCATCGCATATCTACACTGTAGGTTCACAGATTAACCTTTTATCATTTCAAAAAGGAAGTGAATTTTTGAGAGAATGAATTTTAGAAGAAGTAAAAGTAGCCCCACTTTTAAATTAAGTGATCCATTTTAAAATTTGTAATTCAATAAAGTTTCTTCTTATTAAACTTATATTTTGTCATTTTTTTTTAGATGCTGAATCTTACTCTACCTTTTATTTAAAAATTTCCCCTTTCCTGTTTTAATTAAATGATGCGTGCCTGGTTTTAAGTAAAAACTAGTTTGAGCAGAATAGTAGCAGTAATCATATTTTTCTTCTCTTTCCTTAGAACCCCATTGAGGGATGAGTAGAACTTTTAAGTGTGTCCCATGGGTATACTTAATGTATGTAATGTGAGAGATCAAATAATTAGTCTTTAACCATTGCAAATCCAACACTAGCCAGTTATAAATTGCTGTAAGTAAATATTTTCAAGGGTAATACTTATTTAGTAATACTTATTTCCTGAACAAAGCAATTGTTAAATGAACATACAGAGGAATTAAGTTAATGAAGAGCCATCCCAGGCAAATAGAAAATAATCACTACTTCTCTTGCTCACCTGCGAGTTCTAAACTTTGGCTAGTCTGTGGCAAAAGTTCCGAAATAGTTATATCCACCTACATATCAAAATCTGTATATATTTCGCAAATGGAAGAATGTTTTTAAAGTCTAAACAGGAGAGGGAAAAATAAAAGAATAGGTTATACATAAAATTTTTATAGGTATATGATGATTGTCCTTACAGGTCAAAATATAACTTGGGGATTTGAGTTGAATTTCCCTCTCAAAACCTGTAGTTAAAAGTGTAATTTAAAGTTTTATCTTCCCCACCTCCATACCTCCTTACACAGACATTGTATAGCTATAAAAATTAGTCATTCAAGAAGAGTATCTCACTAGGAAATGTGTTTTGAATAATCGCTGACATAAAAACCACTTATTTTTTCTCTTTCAGAGTAAGCAGACTTCACAATAAATCAATCAGTTACTGACAGATTCCTAAGTTATAATGTAATAAGCAAATTGAAGTGCATCAACTGTATAGAGAAATGTTTTAGAAACAATCCAATCACAAATCTTTGTTAGAAAGCCAATAGCTGTGACTATTAGAAAAGGAGTCAATTAGTTTTTATGTGAGACTGGTTTACTCCTTTGTCTTTAGCACTTATAAAAATATTTGTTACATAGTAAGTGCTTATGAAGTAATTTTTCATTATCCTTGTGTCATTGCCCCTATGAAAATAGGATAGATAGGTCACTATTGGTTGATGTTTTAAATTCCAACTTTAAAGAAAGGAATATGAGCTAAGTGTTGAGAGCTCTCTCAGTACCTTAATTCTTCAAAGTGATGCAACAGTTATTATTAACTGAAACTTTCCTCACATAAACATGTATATTCTTGTACTTGTTTATCCATCTGGTAGATGGAAAATGAAAGTACAGATGATTACCTCAAATAATTTACCTTATTTTCGTTCCTCCGGGTGCTGTGAAGACAACTAATATTTTTCCCCCTTAATGATCATGATGGCAAAGACAGGAACATCACATATGATGTGCATACACTGGTTAAATAAACCAAGTGCTTCCATTGGCTGGGTGACATTGGAAAGTATTACTGATGATAAAACACAAAAACTACGAAAGCACTGGAGTGGAATGATGTAGTTATAGCATCTGTCTTTTTGGTACCATTTCCCAAATATCTGTTATGATTCATATAAGGGATGCCTTCTCACTTCCCTATGAACCCAGTGGATCTCTTAAGTCACAATGCCCTACCCTACTTGATGCTTCTCTTCTGGAATTATTACATAGAATATGGCAAGATACTTTTTCTAGTGGAATAGCTAAAGTAGGAGAGGCTATATCAGGGGCTCCTTGGACCGTTTTGCCTATGACATGGAGAGACCCTCTGTGTGTGATAAAGCTTAGGGAAGTTAGGTGGAAGGAAGGTCTTGATAACATGGGAATAGATATCTGCAGCAAGCAACTGAAGAAAAAAGCAAAAAATCCTGAATTGCTTTGGATATGTGTTTGAGCTTAATAAAATGTATAATTACTCTAAATAAGTATACTGATAGCACACCAGAACTTAGGAGAGCACTATGAGATTTTTCAGTTAGCTTAGAAGCATAAATGATCTGGAACGAGCACTAAAGTCACAGGTCTCTATCAGTAGATTTGTCTCAGTATTGTTTCACTGATCTCTTTTTCTCCTTAATTGTAATCCTAATCCTTTTTTTTAAATGATCAAAATACAGCTGTAGATTCAGTGTTTGCTAGTTCTCTCCCCATGAAAAAGATAGGAATTTACCTTTAACATTATATAAGCTTTAGGTGTACAACATGATTTAATATGTGTATATATTATGAAATGAACACCACAATACATTTTAGTATAGATCACCACACAGTTACAATTTTTATCTTGTAAGAATGTTTAAGATCTATTCCTTTAACAACTATCAAAGATACAGAACAGATTATTTATAATCACTCTGCTGTATATTAAAAAAAAAGTTTAAGTAGATAGCTTTTTTTTCAGAGTTCTCATTCTACTAAGTATTAAACTCCTAGTTGTCTTACAGTTAACATCTTTTATTACTTGCCTTTACAGAATATTTCTCCAGGATAGTTAATTCCAGTTGATGTTAAGGTCACTTACGTTATCTCCCATGAGGTTAAGTTGGATTCCCTAAGAGAAGCCCTCTTTGGTGACTTCTGCACTTTAGATGATTCAAAATACAAATTGTTGGCTGTGTACATCAGGGGGAAAAAAACAACTTAAAGGTTAGCTCCAAATTCAGTAATAGGGAAAAAAGATCCCTCATTTTTGGCTTTTGTAAGGCCATGGAGTTATGTTTTTATATGCCAACTAGTTTCCTAAAATGTTTATTTTGACATATTAATGTGCAGTAAGAAACACCCTGACTACTTGAGCCTTTATGAGTTCTGGAAGCAGACAGAATTGGAAAAAGGCTGTTTTTAACTACCATCTCATGAAAATGGTTCCATTATCTTTGTCTTATAGGTCAAAAATATGAACAAGAAAACAAATCTGACTCTAATCTTCTGTTTTCCTGTGTATATTGTCATATCAGGCTTTCTACTCCTTTCCTAAGAAATTAGTGTTGTGTGATGGTTAAGAGCATTCATTTTTGATCTGTGCAAATACAATTTGAACTACAACTTAACTATTCATGAGTCTTTGATAAATTACCTTGCCTGTCTGCCTGATTCATAAGGAAGGATACCAACCGATTTTATAATTTTGGGTAATGTGGACAACAGTTGTAAATACCTTGGAAAAACCAAGCTTCAGGTTTGTGGTTGAGCAGAAATATTTTGGGGGTGGGAATAGCCATTGTTATTTTAAATGGGTACACCATTATATGTATCTTACAACTTGCATTTTTATTTAATGTTTACTTCGAATACTCCTTGCTGGCACATATACATGTATTACATTCATTTTTACCATAGAGCAACATATGTATATATAACAGTCCCTTTTAAAACTTCTCCCTTATGGTTAGTTTTTCTTATGATGTTTTAAAAATTACTCTCTTAGGAGTTTAACTGTTCAGCTAGTGAATGTATTTTCAGAATGCTCTGTATTGCCAGATTGCTTTTTAAAAATTTATGCTAGTTTACCTGCTTGTCAGGATATAATTACCCATTTCCTGACACATTTGGTAATACTGGATATTATTAATCCTTTTGATTCTTGCAAACCTAGGAAAAAAATAGTAACCACTATCTCACTTTGTATTCACATGATTATCTTTTTAATATATCAGTATTTTCTTTGATGATTTCTGGATTTTATGTTTTGCTTAGGAAGACCTTTTTCCATCTGAGATAAAACTTTTATTGATTTGATATTCTTCTGGTAATCTGTTCTTTTTAGAAGTTTCCAGATCTTTAAACCATTTTGAAATAATTATTTGTACTGACACTTTTTTTAAAAAAAGAAGATTTATGCATACAAAACTGGGGTACAGGCTAGAAATGCAGGGGCGGCTAGGATTCACCAGAGACATAGTGGGGAGCACAACAGGCAGATTAAGTACACTGCTGAGGGGAGCAGCGGCCGAGATGGGAGACGTCTGCTGTGCCATGTGGATCATGCAGCACCGAAGCAGCTGCTCCTTGCTTACTGTGGTGCCCTGCCACCAGGGAGGGCCTGTGTACTGACACTTTTCTAAATGGAGAGTCATCTGTTCCAACCAAATCAGCTTATCAAATTTTACTAAAAGCCTCGGAATTGCATTCAATTTGTGGGGACTTTGGGAGATGGCTTCTGGATTCATTCATATACGTAGATGGTACTATTACGTATGGAATTTGTAGACATGTTTCATAGTCACATGAACTGTGAGGATATGAGATAAGACAGTGAAACACATTTGAAATTGAATTTTTATTTTATAGTTATGGAAAGTTCAGTTTCCATGCTTTAACACTCCAGTTCAAACATTTATTGAGACCTAACCTAGATGTTGTATATAATTTGCACTCTTATGTTTACAGTCTAATTGGGAAGATATATGTTAACTGATAATTTGTTCAATACGATGGTAAGTATTGTGTAGGGAATTTCTGGACCACTAAAAAAGTGGCATCCCAGCTTAGATCAAGTAAGGCTTCTTGGAGGGGATAAATCCTGAAAGAATGATTGGAGTTAGTGAGTCAAGAGTGACATATTTGTAAGGAATTAAAGGGCAACAAAGTAGGTAGCATAACTGCTCTTAAGCTGTTATGAAAGTATGAAGTGGGATATGTGCCTTTTCTATAGATATGTATATTGTAGATGGTAGAACCTGTATCCTGATGGTAGAAACCTTTGTTTATATGCCATTACACAAACTTACTATTTGTACCCCAGGCAGTCAGGAACTACTAAAATTTTTAGGTAGTGAAGGTACAGTCACAAGCAGATCTGTGAAAAAGATTACCTTAGAATTTTTATTTTTTAACATCTGTAACCTTGGTTACTGTATATTTTAGGAGTATCAGTTTGCACCTCTTCCAATGTGCATTACTGTACCTCACACCTAGGGCTTTTGAAAGCTGAATATGAATGGCCGAGATAGGTGCAAAGAGGGTAGAAGACTCTTGGCAGTGGTGAAAACAGACAGGAGATAAATGGATCAGAAGAAACGTGAGAAATACTTAGCTGGATACGGTGATATTTATGAGGCTTAAAAAGTCAAGAGCTCAGCCTTTCGTGGTCTTGCAGTGGGTTAGGAACCACCATTGCAAGCCAGCCACAGCTGCTTCAGTGAGAGGTGGATCCCCAGCCCAGAAGTGACCCACATGGCACAGCAGACCTCTCCTGTCTCACTCATTGCACCCCTCAGCAGTGACTTCATTGATCTGCCTGTTCTGCTCCCCACTCTGTCTCTCGTGAATTCTCTCATGGCCCCTGCACCTCTGGCCTGTACCCCAGTTCTGTATGCATAAATAAAAATCTTTAAAAAAAAAGAAGTCAAGAGTTTAGATGACTCACTTGGCTGGGCCTTGACAGGAATGGGTATGGGGTATAATAGCAATAGCTAAAGTATATTTTATATGGATCTTTTAATTTTTACAGCAGTGCTGGGGGTGAGGAACTCTTATTACTCCTGTTTCTATAAAGAAATAGACTCAGTAAGGCTAAGCATCACAACCTGCAGTATGTGGAGTCAGAAAGTCCCTCCAGAGCCCAGCTGCTGTGCCCTTCTGCCTGAAGAGAAAGGATAAAGATGAAAGAAAAAATGAAGAATGAGCACACCTCATAACAAGGAAGTCGTATTTCAAGCAAGGCAGCAGCAGTAATGTCAGTAAACTTAGCAGGTCCCTGGGAAGATCTAGAAAATAGTGCAATAGTCAGTAAAAGCAACATGGTGCCTTGTGGTGGTGGGAGGAATGAAGAGACAGCAAGAGTGGACTATCATGGGATGGCTGATAAGAAAGGGATAGAGAAGTATCAGCAGATGCATATGGCATGTTTTAAATTGGGGAAATCCAAGGATGTGTTTAGTATAGGAAGAAGCAAGATGAATTTGACAATATGGGTGTGGGAAAATCAGTGGAGAAACATTCTAGGTAAGTATTTCACTTACCAAAACAAGTCAGAAAAAGAAAAATACCAAATGGTTTCTCTTATAGGAGGGATAAAGGGAAACTAAGGCATTAGGGAAAATATTACAGCAATAAAAAGCATAAAAAAAGAGACAACTATAAACCATATATTCTGCAGGGTCAAGGAAGGGAGAGGGATCAAAATGGAGAGGAGCACAAGGGTCTATGGTAAAAGAGCATGGTGAACTGATGACGGGAATTTTATGGGGACTACACCTGAGGAAAAGCAAACAAAAATAAATGACAATGATTTATCAATAAATTACATATATATGATTTTTATATGTATATAAAAGAAGTTTCACTTACCACTGTGGACCTGTCCTCCTGATTTATTTGCTACTATGTTCACACATCCCTTGCTTTCTTCCTAGCTTTACTGAGAGTTGAGTCCTAACTCTCCTTTGGGAGCACTTGTTTGTCCATCCTTACAAAGATTTACCCTCAGCTCCTTTTAATGCTACAACTCTCTTAATAATCTCATTCATCTTTGTGCTTAAAAATAGCAGATCACAACCCAGACTGGGCCACACAGGACCCTCCATTCAGTTGACTTCTTGTCTTTTTTTGTTACCTAGTACTCTGCATGTCCACAGCTGGACCTATTTGGATTTGCTTTTATTCAGAATATCTGCCCTACAACCTCCCCTAAACACACATACTGTTCTTGTTCTATAGGTTTTAATTTTGTATCTCCATCAAAATCTATAGCCCTTCAAGACTTCATAGTTCAGTATGTTTGTATTACAGTCAGTACTCACCACACTACTGGAATTGCCATTGTTAATCCGCCACCCTTGAAAGTCAACTATGGAATGGCGGGTCTTATGCCTTCCTTTATGGTAAAGGAAAAAGTGAGAGTAAGTTATAGTAGAGGAGTGGGGCTTTGAAAAGGGAGAAGGAAAACTTTTTTGGGCACTGGATGGAAGCATGTGAGAACATATGTCCTCACATATTTATAGGCTACATGGAAGTAGAAGGAATTGACGAGAAAGTTTTTATGTAGGAGATAACTGGTTTGCTGAGAGTGAGTTTTAGGTGATGGGTTTAAGGAGAGTAATGAAATCATTAGGTTGAGGTCCAGGTGAGGAAATGACCAAGAGGAGGCGACTCCTACAAAACGTTTAAGAGGCCAACTAATTTGCCCTCTTGCAAATTAATGGCTGACCACTGCTTAAAGCAGTCCAGAAGCGAATGTCTTTCCCTTCATTGTAGTGATGGATTTCTTCTGGATGGTGAAGGTTACAAGCAAACATTTTTACCTATAAGTCATAAAGTTAACCACCATTTGTCTACGATAAAATAGTGGGATTTAAAAAATCCTAACCTGTAAAATAAAGGATATCTCACTTGTCTCCCTATTAATCTTGTATTTCCCAAATATTTACATCTGAAAAAAAGATTGAGATAAAACTCTTGTGCTTTATTTTTTAGAGTGAAAATGCCCATATTTCTTTCAATAATAAAAACAGAAATATGCTTATTTGCAAGTTATGAACATGACTAAGTTATAAATTCATTCTTCAGGTTTGCAGATTCTGATAAAATAACTAACTTTTCAACAAAAGAATTTTCTAAACACTACTTCTTTTACCAAACATTTGAGACTGATCCACATAAGAGAACAGTACTTGACACTAACCATGTATAGATACAAACATATGTGCCTACATATGTATATTTTTAGACAAAGTGGAATATTTTTTATGTAGCAGTCACATCTTTATAAAATGAGTATTTGGGTCTGATGGGTAATGGCATCAATAAGTGAAATGTTCAAAACTGAGCTTGATGGAAGGGAGGAGTAGCTTGGAGACACTCGAGTGTCTTGTCTTTGTGGGGGAGAGTAATCAGGTACTGAACTCATGCAAAAGAGTGAAATGTTTTGCTCCAGTAGCCAGACATGCTCTAGGCACATGGAGCATCTAGTGTATCCCTTGTCATTGAGAACATGCTACTGGTATTGTAAATGGAAATACACTATCTTTTTAAAATAGTCATACCCCATTAAAAAAAAAAGTATCACTAAAGTTGGCTGCAATTTACATTGTGAATATATAGCCATCTCTAGAAGGAAGCATCTGTTATTAAAATAGCCCCAGTATTACTCCCGCAGGAGATCCCACTATCTCTAAATTCCCTGTACTAGATGTGGTCCTTGAGTTCTTTTATTATTTTATTAATAATAAATATATTTGATAACATCCTATGCTTCAACTGATTTCTCAGATAAGGACTGAAGCAAATCCTTATAGAGAGTAGAGTTCATGAACCGGGGGTATGAGTCTCTGTGCATTAAAGTGTAAATCTGAAGTTGTGCATCATCGAATATGTGTTGGGAAGGCTCCACCATGTTCTTGTTGATGACTTCTCTGACTCGGGAGTCTAAACTGACCTGTCAACAGAAAGAAATGAGTTCTGTTAGAGTCACTTCTCTTTGAAATGCCACCCCAAGGTCTATTGATTAATTATCTGTAAGCTTTTCTTCTTGGCCCATCTAATACTAGGTCTAGGTCTTCATCCTACTGTGTTTTTTTAATTTCCTTTTTATTATCCTTGATCCCTCATAGCATCTCCCGGTGCTGCTTCATCCTCATTCCCAACTCCCCTGTTACTGATGGCTCACTCCACCAGCGCATGTTAGGACACCCCTTCTGCCCCAGGGGCTCCATGTCTGTCTCCCCCTTGTGTGTGAATTCCCTGTTGGGAAAGGTCTGTTTTATTTACTTCATATTCTTCAGGGCACGTGTAGGAATGAATGCATGGTTTTATAAGGAGAATTATCAAGCACCTAATTTTGAAACCAGCCTAATCTAGATTTCAGATTTGAAGGAACAAAAACCCTGAGAGATGGAAACTTGCTAGACTTGTTTCACTTGGTAACTCTGATAAGAAAAAAGAGTGTGGGCCCTCCCTGGTGGCGCAGCAGGTTAAAGCACAGCACTAAGAAGCTAAAGCCACTGCAGCATGAGTTCGATCCCTGCCCCGGAGGCGACCCACATGGTGTGGCAGACCTCTCCTGACCTGCCTGCTGCTCCCCTCAGCTGTGGACTTCATCAGTCGGCCTCTCCTGCTCCCTACTCCATATCTGGTGAATCTTCTCACCATCCCTACACCTCTGGCCTGTGCCCAAGTTCTATATGCATAAATAAATAAATCTTTAAAAAAAATTGAAAATATAAAAAAAAAAGGTGGTCTGGGAAAACTCTGTAGCATCACTGTCATATTAGTAATGCAATCATATAAAATGAAAATACTCATAGCAAATGTTTGATTCAGAATAAAAGGATATATTTTTTAAAGAAATGCTTATAGGGTGTAAAAATTTCAAACAGTTTTTACATACAAGTGCATTGACTATCCTTTTGAAGACACTGATGAGTTATAGACACTTTTTATTCCAGAAAGGTGCATAAAATCTTTATATTTTCAGAGGTAATGGAGCCCATTTGTAGGACTCTAGTCAGTACTTATCTCCTATGAGTAGTGGGTGGTGAATAGTGGGTGGTCATTGTACCTGGGGAACGTGACCAAACACTGAGCGGTTAATTTTACCAATGGCCTTGCAAGAAAACCTTTTGGTGAGTACATACACACCTCTTTAGGAGAAAGAATGGAAATGTAGTCTTCATATATTATTCTTGCTTTCTCTTCAATAATGTTTTTATTGGCCTCTTTTTTCAGTTCCTCACATGCCATCCAGAAAAGCATATTTTCTTCACTGAATTCTGTTCTGAGAAATTCGCGGAAAGTATTCCTTCCTGCTGGAGTGAGCATTAACTTGTCGAATGACTGAGCCCAAGAGTGAACTTCTTCCAGAGTAGGACTTGGGCTTAGCAGAGATCAAAGGAAAAAGGCAAAGGGAATTCTATTATAGACCATGAATTGCATTTCATTACCTGAAACATAGCTTTTTCCCTCTGAGAAGGAAACTATGACCTTAGGCATTCTAGGGAAGGGAAAGCGTGTCTCATTTCCTAAACCTTTGGCACAAACAACTGAGTGTGAGACTCTGAAATTCTTTAACTAGAATTCTTACAGTTAAATTTGCTAGAACAACTGCGAGGAACACATTTATTTACATCTAGCAACCTCTTAACACTTTTAAGTTATAAAAGTAAAGAAAAATCCTAAAACCACAAGCCTCTCTGTCACCTGTGATAGTTGACCATACTAAATTCCAGCAAGAGTGAAATACGACAGCAATAGTCAGTGTCTACTTAGTGTTTTCGAAAATTCTGCTAAAGTGTCAGAGAGGAAACAAAGCTGTTATGTAAATGCAGGTTATAAAAGGGAACACTGAAATAAACACTTATCAATTCACCCTTTATCATAATAACCAGGACATCCCCTGGGCACTACTTCCAGATTCATCATTCTGAGGAAAACCAATGTTTGATTTGGGGCTTACCTTGCTGTTGTTTATTTAGTTTGGAGAATTTTCTTTTTAAAACTGGTGTATATTTTTCATGTAACTTATATTACTTTCAGGTGTTTGACCTGATTCAATATTTGCATACACTGTAAAGTGATCACCACACTAAATCTACTTAACATTTGTCACCTCGTGTTACTTTTTTTTTGTTTATTGTTGTTGTAATAAGGACTTTTAAAATTTATTCTCTTTGGCCCTCCCTGGTGGCGCAGCGGGTTAGGACACAGCACTGCAAGCCGTATGCAGCACTGCAAGCCAGCCACAGCCGCTCCAGTGCAAGTTTGATCCCCCACCCTGGAGGTGAACCACATGGCGCAGCAGACCTCTCCTGTCTTGTTGGCTGCTCCCCTCAGCAGTGTACTTCGTCAGTCTGCCTGTTGTGCTCCCTACTCTGTCTCTGGTGAATCCTCTCACCACCTCTGGCCTGTACCCCAGTTCTCTATGCATAAATAAATCTTTTTAAAAAATTTACTCTCTTAACTACTTTCAATACAATATTAACTAACTTTCAACACAGCATTACCTTTTCTTTTCTCCCCATTATCATGCATAGTTATGAAATTCTTTTAAGATGAACATTTAAGAGTTATTCCCTTAGCAATTTTCAAATAATATAATGCTGTTGTTGACTATAGTAACCATATTTATAGTATATCTCCATGACTCAAGGCCCATCTACATTGTAGAAACTGGCAAGACATTTATGGCTGAAGAGTATTCCAGTGTGTGTGTGTGTATCTATCACATCATAGTTTCTTTATCATTCATCCATTGATGAAAACTTATGCTGTTTTCATGATACAGCTATTGTAAGTAATGTTTTGATAAGCATAGGAATTTATTTATCTTTTCCAATTAGTGTTTTTGTTTTCACTGGATATACTCAGAAGTGGAAGTACTAGATCAAAAGTATTTTATTTTTAATTTTTTGAGAAAACTCCATACTGTTTTCCATAGTGAATGCAACAATTTACATTCCTATCAAATGTTCACAGGGCTGCCTTTTCTTTATAGCCTCACCAACACTTGTTATTTCTTACCTTCTGATAACTGTCATTTTAACAGGTGTGATTTAACAGCTGGTATCATAGTTGTGATTTGCATTTCCCTGATAACTAATGATGTTAAGCTTCTTTTCACATACAAACATCTGTTGGTCATTGGTAGGTGTTCTTTGGAAAAATGCCTATTCATACTTACTGCCCATTTAGATCAGATTGCTTGTTCTTTTGTTGTTGAATTGTATGAGTTCTTTACATACTTTGGATATAAACCCCTTAAAAGATTTCTGGATCTTTTCTCCCATTCAGTGGGTTGCCTTTTCATTTTGTTGATGTTTTTCTTTGCTGGTCAGAAACCTTCTAGTTCGATATAGTCCCACTTGTCTACTGCTTTTGTTACATTTGCTTTTGGAATCAGATCCAAAAAATTACTATCGAGACCATGTCAAGCAGTTTACCACGTATATTTTTTTTCTAGGAGGTTTATGGTATCAGGTCTTGCACTGACTTCTTTAATCCATATTAAGATATTTTTCTGTGGTGTAAAACAATGTTAGTTTCGTTCTTTTCCTTATGGAAATCTAGTTCTCCCAACACCACTTATGGTTTGTTTTTGTCTCCGTTGTCATAAATGAATTGACTGTAAAAGTGTGGGGTTTCTTCTAGATTCTATAATCCATTCTGTTGACCTGTTTGTTTTTATGCTAGTACCATACTGTTTTGACAAGTATTGCTTGTAACATAATCTGAAAGCAGGAAGTATGATACTTCCAGCTTTGTTCTTTCTCATGATTGCTTCAGCTATGTATCTTTTGTGGTTCCACATAAATTTTAAGATTGTTCTAGGTTTTTTTTGAATAACACTGTTAGCATTTTGATAAGGATTAGATTTAATCTATAGATTGCTTTGGGTAGCATGGGTATTTCAACAACATTAATTCTCCAACCTTGAGTACAGAATATATTTTCATTTATTGCTGATAACTATCAGAAACAAGAAAAGGCAAGGCAGGATTCTCCCCAGAGTTGTCAGAGTCTGACCATGATGACCCCATGATTTGGGCTTCTGGTCACAAGACAGGTGTTGATTTTTGGCCTCCAAAAAAAAAAAAAATACACTTATTTTTCTGGTTCCTCTTTCAAAATGAGGCAAACTTAGTTCTTCATATTAAACAATGCATGTACATTTGCCCCATTTCTCCCATAATGACAAGTTTTAAACTATAGTACAACTTATAGTACAACGTGTGAACATTTTACAGTACATTTTTGATAGTTGAACTCACTTTTCTGAGTTAATTTTTTAAACTGCTTTAAACATTGCAGAACCCATTATTTTTAATTTTATTATAGGCAATTCAATTATTTGAAGTATCTAAATCTGAATCTTGTTTCTACTGGTTCTCATTTGTGGAGGGCTGTTTCTTTTAGTTTCATAATTTTAGTTAGCCTTAATCTTTGGCAATATTTTGTTTGCTCAAGAAAATATGTATACTTGCTTCTTCTGAGATCTGATACATACCAGGACCACTTCTGCTCCTTTCAGGGATCAGGGCTTAATGTGGGAATCTCAGTTTCAACACTCCCTCCAGCAATGATGCCATCAGTATTGAGCCTTACAGAAAACCTTTCTTTCCTGTACTTAAACAGTCACTCTTGGAAGTTTTGCTTATTTTTTATATGTTTTTATTTTTAATGTGCTTTGTCATTTTCCTTTCTTTCTATAAGAAATGCAAAAACTTTCAGACTTAAGCAAAATGTATTGTTCAGTGTTAGGAAGGGCCTCAGAGTATCTCTTCTTTTCACACTACCATCCCTGCCCCCCTATTTAGCGCTGGTATGCAGAATTTGATATTCCATGAACATCCTAATTATGAAGGTCACATATAAAGGTTCAAAATATAAATTCTATTTTTGAAATCATAACTTGAAGATGAATTACACTTGACCCAGCAATGAAACATAAATAAAAAGCTCAAGACCACAGAAACTAGGTTATAGGAAGAGAGTAGTCAGCCAAGAAAATAAACACAGATGTCTAAGTCACAGTTTTAAGTTTAGTTTCAAAATGAGATTTAGTGTGTGCAGCAGATACAGACTATCTCAGTATGTTCACACATATTAGAATGTGTCACATAGGAAATTTTTCAGAATATGTTTAAAAATCATTGATGGCAGTTCTAATTGGAGATTAAGATAAGCTTTTACTGTAAACATGTGTTGGTTGACTTTTATTTTTAATAGTTAGCATCTAAACTTTTTGTCAGCAAAATGTATCCCATATGAAAATATATCTACCATAATTTGAAAAATTGGTTTTGAAAGAAAACATGTTTTTAAAAAATATTAAAAAGATCATCTAAAAACAATAAAGCCATCATGTAAAAGTCCTGGGATATTTTTAGAAAGGTTACTTAAATTGGTGAGACTTTTTTTTTATAATAGTTTATTTTTACATCATGGTGAGACTTTTTTAAGGTGTGTTAAATTAATCGCTTAAATACAAGGATTCAAATTCAAAAAATATCATTTTACTCTGTCAACTTCAAACTGAAAAAAATCAGTAGTGTATTTTTGTGAAAAATGCATGTATACTTTCCATAATGCTGAATAATATAAAAATAAGGAAAGAAAAAAAATTAACATAGGAAGGAAGAAAGGAAATAATGATTAGGAGGTATTGCAAACAATCAAAGGGTATGCTATCACTAATGAAAACTGACCCAATGTAATTAGATTCTGATTTATTACTTAAAGAGAGAGATTCAAATAGAATCAAATGAGCAAAATACAATATAATACTATTTGGGGGAAGTACATAAAATACTAATAAAAATTAAAAATAAATAAGCAAAGATAGAGTATGAAGAATCTTGATAAAGCCATTAAGATAGGGCCCTCCATGGGGGTGCAGCGGGTTAAAGCACAGCACAAAGAAGGTTAAGCCATTTCCGCATGAGTTCAATCCCCGCCTGCCCTGGAGGAGATCCACATGGGGAGGCAGACCTCTCCTGATCCGCCTGCTGCTCCCCTCAGCAGTGTACTTCCTCAATCTGCCTGTTCTGCTCCCCACTCTGTCTCTGGTGAATTCTCTCACCCTTGTATCTCTGGCCTGTACCCCAGTTCTGTACGAATAAATAAAAAAAAAATCTTAAAAAAAATAAAAGCCAATAAGATAAAGAGTGAAGAAAAATATTAAGTAATCTAATGGATTGTTTGTTAAACATTTTTTTCCTCAAAAGTAAGCAATTCTAGTACAAGACCTAGTTCATTAATGCTTTTAGACACTGTCTCACATATATGCAATTACATGGTCATCATGCCAAGAAAAGGTAAAAGAGTAGTTGAGTGAAAGTAAATTCATTGATAAGGAAAAAAGTTTTAAAATTTGGCAATATGAAAAGTAGTTTTTTTCCTGACATTTTAAAAATGGTATATTGACTAAAGTATAAATATACAGTTAATAAAAAAAATGGACTTTTAAAACAGTCCTGTAAACTAATGTGTGGGTGTCATTATGACCTTTTATCTTTAAAAATATGTCATATAAAAATAAATTTGTATATTTTTCAAGGGACAGTTTATATTTGTGACTAGCTGTGATTACATTAATAATGGAACTGATTTTTCTGTTATACAAAGAAAGAACTTCAGAGTAAAGATGTGATATCATTGTGATTTAAACTGCATTTGAGTTGTTTTGCTGAAACATATAATGCAACAAAAATTTAACAAGACATGCATTTCTGTCCATCCATTAATTGAATTAATGTGAGATTTCACCTTTCTTCACAGATTGGAAGGTCTTCCCTTCTGAGCTCTTGGGATGCTCTCCTGGGTATCTGTTCTTGGTTTCTAACTGTGAGACTTTCAAAACAAGACAGTAAGAAGCACATCAGTTAACATAATTTCTGTATCAAACAAATTTTTTTCCACAATTTTCTTTTAAAGTAACTTCAGATCACCAAATAGAATTTTCTTCTCTTGCTGGCCCTCCCTGGTGGCGTAGCAACTCAAAGCACAGCACTAGGAAGTTAAAGTCCCTTCAGCATGAGTTCAATTCCCCACCAAGGAGGTGAGCACATGATGCAGTAGACCTCTCCTGACCCACCCGCTGCTCCCCTCAGCAGTATACTTTGTCAGTTAGCCTGTTCTACTCCCCACTCTGTCTCTATGAATCCTTTCTGCCCCTTCTCCTCTGGCCTGTACCACAGTTCTGTATGCATAAATAAATGAATCTTCTTTAAAAAATTTTCTTTTCTTCTCTTGCTGAAAATAAACTATCCTGATTGGTTTTCTTAAGAAAACCAAAGGTTTGAGAGGCACATATACAGAGTATTAGAGAAAACCAGCAAAATCTAGATTTTCAATTATATCTTTGAAGACAGTGTTAGGTTTTTTTCAGTTGTTCCCAAATACATCTTTAATTGCTTTTCCATCTCATCTTCTAACTAGTTATTATTTGTACATATGAATGCTAATATTACTTTCTTAATAACTTTGAACTATCATTTATCTATCATAAAGTTAAAATATACATTTCAGGAGTCATTGGCATAATCAGAAGATTGCACAACTGTCACTTCTATTTCAGAATATTTTCATCACCCCCTGCACAACTGCCCCAGATCTGTTACCAGACACTCCTCATACTTCCAGCTCTACTTCCAGCAGTCCTAAGCATAACTAATTTACTTCCCATCTCTCTATATTTACTTATTCTGAATCATGCTATTTAGGTTTTGCAGCTAGCTTCCTTCATGTGGTATAGTATAGGTATCAGTTCACAAATTTTCAAATGGATGTTACCACCACATTGGTCCTCAGCCATAATCCATTGGGTCCACTTCCGCCTTTGGGCCCACCTTGAACATGCCCTCAGGTAGCCTCAATTCTACAGTCAGATTCCTAAGGTTTGCATTGATTTAGTTTTGTCAGTTTCTTTGTTTTGGTTGTCTATGTTCTATACATGACTGGAATCATCCAGTATTTGTCTTTCTCCTTATTACTTAATTTGCTTAGCACAATATCTCCAGTTCCTCCAAGTTGTCACAAATGGCCACATTTTATCTTTATTTATAGCTGAGTTGTATTATTGAATTCTGTGTGAACCACATCTTCTTCATCCACTCATGTGTTATTGGGTACTCAGCTTGTTTTCTAGTTTAGCTCTTGTAAATAGAGAGGCGATGAACACAGGAGGCCATGTATGCTATAATTTAGTGTTTTCCTGTTCTTTGGGAAAATACCAAAGAGTGGAATTCCTGGATCATCTGGTAGATCTATTTTGAATGAGGACTGGAACAGTCCACATTCCCACCAACAGTGAATGAGGATTCTTTTTTCCATATCCTGGACAACACTTACTATTTCTGGTCTTTTTGACATGGGTTCTTTTCAAGGGTGTGAGGTGTTATCTCATTGTGGTTTGGGTTGCACTTCCCTGACTCTGTGACTAGTGATGATGTGAAATTTGTATGTGCCTGTTGGCCATCGTATGCCTTCTTTGGAGAGATATATCTTTATATAGCTCTCCTGCTCAGGTTTTGGTTGGGAAGATGTCTGATGTTCAGTATGATTCCCATTGGATAGGGTTTCTTTTAGTTTCAGTGATAATTTCTTTCACTGTGCAGAATATTTTTAGTTTGATGTGGTCCCATTTATTTATTTTCGCTTTTGCTTCCTTTGCTGTTGAAGTCTAGTCCCCAAACATCCTTGAAGACAATGTCAGGGAGTGTTTTACATATGTTTCTATATATTCTATGATTTCTGGTCTTACATCCAACTTTTTGATTCAATTTGAACAGTTTTGTATATAGTTTCATTCTTTGGCAAAGACCTGTCTAGTTTTCTCAATATCATTGTTAAAGAGACATTCCTTTCTCCATTATATAGTTTTGGATCTTTTGTACAGGAACATTATGTGGACACTGCATTATTATATGGACACTACCTGTCAGTGTGTGTGTTTATTTCTGTGTGCTCAATTACATCCATTCGTCTATGCTTACCTTTTATTCCAATATCACATTGTTTTGTACTTTATTTGAAGACTGTATGATAATATTTCTTTTTTATCAGGATTGTTTTGGCTTTTTAGTATTGTTTATAGTTTCATATAGATTTCAATAATGTTTGCTCTACTTCTGTGAAGATTGTATTAACTTTGATAAAGATTGCATCGACTCTGTACATATTTTTTGGTAAAATGGTCTCTTTAACAATGGTAATTCTTCTAATCCCTGAGGAGGGGATATGTTTTCCTTACCATGTATCTCGTATTTCCTTCAATAAAGTGTTAAAATTTTCATTTTACAGGTCATTCACCTCTTTTATTAAGTCTACTTCTAGTTACTTAATTCTGGAGGAAAAACCTGATTTTTGCATATTGACTTTGTAGCTTGTGACTTCACTGTACTAACTTATTGTTTCTAATCATTTTTAGGTATACTCTTCTATGTGTGTTTCATACCATCTTCTAACAGTTCTAGTTTCACTACTTTCCCAATTTGGATTCCTTTCATATCTTTTTCCTGATTAATTGTCTAGGTAAGTCTAGGTAAGACTTCCAACACTATATTGAATACTAGTGTGAAAGTGAACATCCTTGCCTTATCCTAATCACAGGAAAAGCTTTCACTTTCTCATCATTGAGCATGATGTGTTAACTCTATATTTTTTCATAAATGGCCTATATTATGTCAAAGCCTGTTCCTTCTATCTCCATTTATTGTGAGTTTTTGTCATAAATAGATGTTGAATCTTAACCAAAAAAACTTTTCTCTGTATTTATTAATAATCGCATTTGTCTTTCCTTTTCTTGATGTGGCAAGTTACATTGATTTGTTTGTGGATTTTGAACCATTTTGAACCATTATAAGTACCATAGCCTTCTGTTTTGGGGTGGGGGTCTGCCCATTTTGCTGGAATAAATCCCACATAATTATGATTTATGATCCTATTAATGTTTTGTTGAGCTCAGTTTCTAAGATTTTATTGAATATTTCTACATGTGGGTTCATTGGGGATATTGGTTTGTATTTTTCTTTTTGTGTGTGATGTCCTTATCTACTTTTGTACCAATTTTTGCTGGGTTTCAAATCATGCTTGGAAGCATTCCTTCTTTCTCAATTTTTTGGGAAAGTTTGAGAAAGATAGGTATTCATACATTTTTTAAAGATTTGGTACAACTCACTAGTGAAACCATCTGGCCCTATGCTTTGATTTTGGGGAAACTTTTGATTATCGTTTCAATTTCCTTTTTTGTAATTTATCTGTTCAGAGTTTTATTTCTACCTGATTCAGTCTTAGAAGGTTGGATGCTTCTAAGATTTTACTAAGATGTGTATTGGTGCAGGTCTCATCACATTTAGATAACAAGGTGTTCTTTCAGTTTCATGGGCTTATATGCTCAGTTCCTTCCTGAAGTTTGGGAAGTTTTCTACTTTTTTTTTTAGTAATCCCTTTGCTCCCTCTTTTCTATATTCTCCTTCTGGGATACCCGTTATCCTTATGTTGGCTTTCTTAATGGAGTCAGATTGTTCTTGAAGTGTTTCATCTCTTCCCAACTCTTTTCCATTTCTTTTTCATCTTCTACTTGGGTTCTTTTTGAATTCCTTCCAGGCCTGTGGTTTGATTCTCCATTTGGTCTACTATGCTTCCATAACATTCTCTAGACTTTTAAAAAATTTCATCTATTGAGCTTTTACATTCTGAAAAAAACTTTTATTTTCTGCATCTATTTCTATTTCCTGTATATTAATTTAGTTACCATTATTAATTTGTTTTTCTGAATTTTATCATGTCTTTGATTTGCTTTTCTGAGTACACTTGCTTTTCTGTCTTCTTCTGTTTCTGATATTACTATGGTAACTTTTAATTCTACTTGATAGGAAAGATAAGATCTTCCATGTATTGTGGTTGGTTGGTTTCTGGAGAGTCATTCTTGTGATACAAAATTCCCTTGTCGGGCCCTCCCTGGTGGCGCAGCGGGTTAAAGTACTACACTAAGAAGCTAAAGCCACTTCCGTATGAGTTCGATCCCCTCCTGCCCCGGAGGTGACCACATGGCGCGGCAGACCTCTCCTGACCCGCCCGCTGCTCCCCTCAGCAGTGTACTTCATGGATCTGCCTGTTCTGCTCCCCACTGTCTCCGGTGAAGCCTCTCGCCACCCCTCAGCCTCTGGCCTCTACCCCAGTTCTGTATGTACAAATAAATAAATCTTTAAAAAAAAAAATCCCTTGACGTCTCGAGGTGCTACATGTTTTGTTTTGTTTTGGGGTGGGGGTCTGCCCATTTTGCTGTCAAGACTCTTCAGTCTGCGTGTTATCAGAGTACCTTACGTGGTTGTTACCAGTGTAAAAGGACTGGAGAGGAGAAATACGGCTAAGTACACTATCCTTGTTCTTTTCTCTTGGAAACAGGCTTTCAAGGAGCATATCGGCTCCTCTGCATGTGTTTCCCCTCAGTCAAGGGAGGTTTGCTTCCCACATCATTTAGGTCTCCCCACCCTATGACCCCTGACTGAGCAACAGCAAGTACCATAGCCTTCCACCATGGACTACAACCTCCAGGCATTTCTCCCCACCAACCTCTTGTTCAATGAAGCATGAATTGCCTCCATGTCCTTTCTGGTACAGTCTGTGCTATTCTCTGATAACCACGAAGTGTTCCAGCTTTACCCCAAGCCATAGTATTCTCTGGATGTAGTGTTCCTCTAGTTAATTTTTAGATAATCCTCTCTCAAGCAAAGCAAGGAACCTCTTCTTAGGTCATCTTGGTTTTGATTGAATATAATGATTTTAAGATTAAGGTTTTAAGGCCATATTGTGGCATATATCAGTATTTCATTCTTTTATGTGGTTGAATAATATTTTCTTCTATGGTTACACCACAATTTGTTATTAGTTCATTATCAACTGACAACCCTTTAGGTTATTTGCACGTTTGGCTTTCATGCACAGTTTGACTCTGAACACTAATGTACAGGCTTTTGTGTAGATAACTGTTTTTATTTTTCTTGGGTAGATACTTAGAAGTAAAAATGCTTTTGCTTGGTAACTGTTTTTGACATTTTGAGGAAATTCTAAACTGTTTTTCAAAACAACTGTCTCATTTTTCATTTCCACCTATCATGTTTGACAGACCTAATTTCTGCACATCCTTGCCAGCATTTTTATACATCATTCTTCATTTTGTGCATTTTTTCATCTGATTTGTAATCCCGCTCCCCACTAACAATTCACCCGTGTGTCACCACCACAGTCCAGTGCACTCTTCCCACCCCAGTTCTGATCCCATTCCCTTTTCTACCCCCATAAAATATCTCTGGTTTATAGTTGTTGGTTGTTTTCATTTTTACTATATTTGTTTGTCTCTCTCTTTTCCCCCCCTGATCCCTTATGCTCCTGCAATGAGAGAAACCAGATGGTATTTTTCTTTTTCTTTCTGGATTATTTCACTAAGCATGATCCCTTCCAGCTCCATCCATGTTGCTGTAAAAGGCATGAGTTCTTTTTTGACTGCTGAGTAATATTCCATTGCATATATGCACCACATCTTTCTAATCCAGGCTTCTATTTTGGGGCATTTGGGTTGATTTCATGTCTTTCCTATTGTAAATAAAGCAGCAATAAACATGGGGGGGCAGGTATATTTTTGAATCAGTGTTTTGGTGTCTTTTGGGTAGATACCTAGGAGTGGGATATCTAGGGATTAGATTAGTAGATATCTAGGGATTGCCAGGTCATATGGAAACCCTATTTTTAGCCTTTTGAGAAACCTCCAAACAGCTTTCCATAGTGGTTGTACTAGTTTGCATTCCCACCAGCAGTGCAGGAGAGTTCCTTTTTCTCCACATCCTCACCAACATTTGTTGTTGCTAGTTGTTTTACGATGTGCCATTCTCACTGGTGTGAGATGGTATCTCATTGTGGTTTTAATTTGCATTTCCCTTATTACAATGTAGAACATTTTTTCATATGCCTGTTGCTTGCAAGCATTTTTTATTGTTTTCTTTTCCCCACCCCTATTGCTTTTTTTTTTTTCTATTTTATACATATAAGCAGGTAAAAATGCTATCTTGTAGTTTTGGATTTGCACTTTGCTAATGGCATTGAGCATCTTTTTTATGTAATTACTAGTTATTTGTGTATATATTTTTGGACATGTCTATCCGAATACTTTGCTCATTTAAAATTGGTTTGTCCTTTTATTTGTTAATTGTAAGAGTTATTTACATCCTGAAGGCTATTATTTTGATGTTAAACTTATCCTTTCTCTTTACTGAATTTTTTTGTGTTTGTCTCAACTTTAGCAAAAATTTTCTTGGTGTTTCTAAGTAAACTCTCATAAAATCTGTGAGCAAAGAAGACTTTACCTCTTTTCTACTTATTGGCCTCTAATTATCTTCTCTTGTTTGATTATATTGCCTAATACTTAAAATACAAGGTTAACTAGAAATGAGCATCCTTGCCTTGTTCTTGTTTTTAGCAGGAATGCTATCAGCTTCCCATTAATACTAAAATTATGGTCTTATTTGAGTATGCTTTCTCTTACTATTGCCACTACATTACTTTTCTACTCCTTTTATTTTATCTTTCCTTAAGATCTTTTACTTCATCTTATAAAATTGTTTCATTTTATATTGAGCACATCTGCTTTATGAATCTCTAGTAATTTTCTCTCTGTGTTTGTAGCTCTATTTTTCTTTAAATGCAAAGTCATTAGAAATGCAGGAAGTCTTTTGACTTTCTACTTACATGATGCCAAGGCTAAAAAGTTTCAGTAAATACTGTTTTCTTAAAATAGAAACAAAAACTAAATCAAAAACAAATGTGAGAGGCATCTCTGCAGGAGCATTAACATTGCCCGACTTCCCTGGGTCCTTTTGTAAGCATAATAAATTCCTACACAGTGGGTATGAAAGCAAAAAGAAAAAGAAAGGATGACTCTGACACAATTCCTCAAAGAAGTGGAAGTTATATTGCAAACTAAATTTGCCAAATTCATTTAGCCTTAACATTTTCCCTAAGTCTCCTTAAAAAAAAAAAAAAAGAGTGGGGATATTTCTTGAGGAGATCATATGTTCTCAAAAACATGAAGACTATATTTTGTATCAAAATTTTAACATGAATTTATTGTTATCATTATGATCCAACAATATAAACTAAAATGCTTGCTCAGCATGTTATATAACTTATTAGTGAGAAAAGACAAAGACCCATGGTTAGATATATTTTTATAAATTTATGAGTTACGAAGAGGAAAAAAATTCCTCAATACTCTAGAAAGAAAAACAGTTTATTTTTAATAGAGCAAAAAACTTCATCACTTCTGGCCATAAGACCTTTAGGCAGAATTTTTAGAAAGATAGTGTAATTGTTTAGAATATTTATTACTATTTACCTTTCTTTAAATTTGTCTAAGTATTAACATGGATAAACCTCAAAAGTATGTTGAATGTTTGTGTTCATCTTGAGAATGAGGGAAAAATCCAAGGAAATTTTATATTAAAATAACTGAAGTTTTTTCTGTTTGATACAAGTAGCTATGTCTTGTGTTGTATGTTTGTAATTGTGCCAATGGAAAGGGTCCAATATTCACCATAGATATGATGATAAAAACTAAAAGTGGGACTGCAGTGGAGTGGCTGAAGCCAAGGACTGTCGCAGTGGACTCTTCCCTGATGGGGTAGCTATGAAGACAGCCTCAGGGAAAATGCTAAAAGGTATCTGATTTTTGAGGAGGGGCTTCCTTGGAGACAAAATAGAAGGCTGAAGGCAGAAAGGGAGAAAAAAGAAGGTTGTTTTATCTGGTCTGCAGGATTCAAGATTTGAGATCCTTCAATATTTTGGGGGCCAGTGGATTTCAGCCACTCCCCACCCTGCTAACATTGATCTTGGAGAAGGCTGCTGCAGACTTTCGAAGGTGGAGGCCTTCAGTAGCCAACCCTGGAGAGGAAGAGGCTTTGCAAGTATCTGAGTGACTGAACAGTTCCTGGTTTTGCTGGGGTTACAGCCTGGCTCACAGCCTGGCCTAGCTGCATGAGTGAGGACATTTGTTGGGTCATGTGGTCACTGTGGTTGCTGCACTGAGTGTTCCTCATCTGGTGCTCTACTGGAGCATAAGGCGGCTCTGGGAGTGTCTTCTGCTGTGTCTACTGTTATCTTCATGAATTGGAACCTGGGCTGGAGTCTGGCTGCCGTGTGCCCCAGGTCAGCAAAGGTAGGAGGATGCCATCTTAGGCACATGGCCTATTGTCTGGGAGAGGAGCTGCACATCCTCAGTGGGGGGAAGATGCCATCATAACATCGTTGTGCAGGCCAGTACTGGACTCAACTTTGGGTAAATGGCTATTATTGGCTTCAGTAACTTTTGTTTATCCTGTTTGTTAAAGAAATTCCTTTGTTTATTTCCTAAGTCTGAGCAGTCTTGCAATTGTGCACAAAGCTGAAGAACCCAGATAGTAATTGGTAAAGTATTTAGGCAGTGGGGACTTGATGATTTTAGGGTCCCCTGCCACCCAGGGACCCCTCTTTCTATTTCAGATATAACCACTGTACTTAATTTATTATTTATTATTACCAGTCATTCATAGTTAGGTTTCTCTCTTATCATATACTTATATATGTATATGTTTGTGTATATACACATACATAACTACACACATATTTTCAAAATATATGTATTATTACACAATATGTATTGTTTTACACATTGTTCATTCTGCCCGCAGTCCAGTTTGCAGCACGTTTAAATGTTGTATGGTATTGCAATGCATAACTATATAACAATGTATTTATCCAATCTCCTGTTCATGAACTTCAGAAACATTTTCCACTTTTCCCAATCAGACTAGTGTTGTAGTGTATCCTTTCATACATGTCTGCTTTTTTATTTGGGTGAGATGTTTTTCAAAGATAAGGTATTATATTTAGATCCTTGTTTGTAAGCACACAATGGGTTATATTTTCTGTTTCACTCCATTTGCTTTCTTTTCTTTTGGTCAGTTTTTAAATTATTAATGCCTTGAAGTTCTTTATGTATTCTAGAGTTGAATTTATTAACTACCGTCTTCCAGTCTTCCAGTATGGTTGACCTTTTGATTTTACTTTCTGATACCTTTTATCAAATATATTAAGAAAACTTTAAAGTTCAGACACCATACCACTCACCAATTTATATATTACACGTCAAGTTTGTTATTAGCTTTATACAAGTGTGCAACAATCATGATTTTAGAATATTTCATCACTCCTAATGAAATCCTGTACACATGAACAGCCATGCTCATCACCCTCTCCTCCAGGCAGCCACTAATCTACTTTCTTTTTTGATGGATTTACCATATGTGGACATTTGAAATGATTGGACCCATCTTAAATTCTCACTTCTCTACAAGCACTTTATTATTCTCTAGACTAATTTGAGTTTAATCCTTTCTCACCATCTAGGCATTGTTTCTGCCCAAATGTTAATATTTGACCATAATTTGTCTTAGATTGTTTTTTAGTAATTTAACATACATTAGCACATCAGTAAAGAAACTCCAAAATAAATCTTACCAAGAGCAGCTACAGCAGCAACACCAGCAGAAGCAGCATGCATTGGATCCTCGGTTCCCTACTCCTTGCTGGCTTGGGGTGGAGCCTGATGTCTCCTGAGCTGCAGACATCTGGGGCTTCTGCATCTCCATGTGTTCTGATCCCATTGGCTGCAACAACAGCACAAGTAAAAAGTGGATCAGAATAGGGATGAAGTTAGGGCCTCAGAGGCCCAGATATCCTGTTGCTTGTAAAATCGATAAGATGCAATTTGACTATATCCAGGTCATTTCTGTGAATTCTGGTAAAAGTTGGAATCTTACCTCCTTCCCCCCTTTTTAAAGATTTATTTATTGATGCATACAGAACTGGGGTACAGGCCAAAGAAGCAGGGGCAGTGAGAGACTTCACCAGAGACAGAGTGGGGAGCAGAACAGGCAGATCGATGAAGTACACTGCTGAGGGGGGCAGCAGACCGGTCAGGAGAGGTCTGCCACGCCATGTGGATCACCTCCAGAGACGGGGATTGAACTGGCACTGAGACATTTGCTGCTAGCTTGCAGTGCTACGTCCTGACACATTGCACCACCAGGGTCCCTATTTAAGATTCTTTAATATGGCCTTGACTTTTTCTCTCTTTTTTTTTTTTTTTGCTTTTACTCTATCAACAAGTCAACCATTATATCAAAAATAATTGGATCAAACTCATGTTGAAGTGGCTTTAGCTTCTTAGTGCTATGCTTTAACCCACTGCGCCACCAGGGAGGGCCCACGAATCTTGCCCCCTTTTCAGAGGATCACAGGAATGGTTGAGGGAGAAAAAGCACAAAAGTGGTATAAAAACTAAGACATTGCCGGCCCTCCCTGGTGGCGCAGTGGGTTAATGCACTGCAAAAGAAGCCTAAGCCACTTCCGCACCAGTTCGATCCCCGCCTGCCCCGAGGAGATCCACATGGCGTGGCAGGCCTCTCCTGACCCACCCGCTGCTCCCCTCAGCAGTGTACTTCGTTGATCTGCCTGTTCTGCTCCCCACTCTATCCCTGGTGAATTCTCTCACCCTCTGCATCTCTGGCCTGTACCCCAGTTCTGTATGAATAAATAAATAAATCTTTAAAAAAACAAAAAAAAAGCTGAGACATTACCAAATCTATTTTTATTTTTGATATAATGGTGAAAGGATTTTGTTGTCCAGTCAACCAAACAATCAAAGTGCACATCTATACACAGTGCCTAGTTTGAGAACCAGATGGCTCAATTGGTCTAAGGGTAGAAGCAGAGATATTTTTCTAACTCATAACACGTTTTCTCAGAGACAGATTCTACTTATTTCTGGGGGAGAAGCTCTGAGCTTGTCTGAGCATCACTGTCTCACAACTCTTGTGATATTTCCTTCTCTCTTTCTTCTTTTTTTTGGGTAATATTTTAGTGGAGATGCCCACCAACAATGGTTTACTTCAATCAGGACACTGAGGGACAAGAGAGGACCAGTCATCAGAAGCATCAAAGATGCTTTAAGCAGAGGTGCTCCAGGTAAATATTATTTTTTAATGAATATCTATGCAAATTGTCTTATTAAAAATAAACAATTGCTTCGCAGAAGAAGAAACTATAACAGTAATGTAAACAAATTTCAAGGGTCTCCAGCTTCAAATCTTTACAACATGAAATATCTATTAATTTAAGTCTTCTCTCATATGGGAACCCTCCTACACCATTGTTCCAAACATTATGGGAATATAAACTCATACTGCCCTATGGAAAACAGTATGGAGGTGTCTCAAAACATTAAACAGGGTTCTGCCATTCAACCTAATAATTCCACTCTTAGGCATCCACTAAAAAATTAAAAAGCACTAATTTGACAGAAAACTGGCATGCCCATGTTTATTGCAGCTCTATTTACTATAGCTAAACTTGGAAAGAAACTGGGTGTCCCAAAGCTGGTAAGTAGATCAAAAAGATGTGGTATATGTACACAATGGTCTATTACTCAGCTATCAAAAAAGATAAACTCATGTCATTTGTGGCAACATGGATTGTGCTGGAAGGGATAATGCTAAGCCAAATTAGTCAGAAGGAAGAAGATAAGTACCAGATGGCATGTAATATGTGAATATAAAGTAATTAAAGTAAGAGTAGTATAGAGTAGCTAAAAACTAACCCTTGATTGCTGACTGCAGAACTGAAGTACCAAGTGGGGGAGGTGATAGGAGGAGGAGGAAGGAGGGATAAGAACAAAGAGAATGAAGCACAACGGACGATGGTGGTGGAATATGGGTGAGTTATTGTTGGGTGCCCTAAGGTGGTGATACCTGATTAAAGTATCCCAAATATTACCTCAATTAAAAATAAATACTAAATTCTTTTATCAGTAGTTTGTTTTCTTCAAACAAGGCCTGCATATTTTTCATAGCTGCAGCCGACTCTGTGTGAGTTCGTTGGGTCCTGGCCAGGGAGGTGACCCATATGGTGGAGCAGACCTCTTGTCTCTCCTGCTGCTCCCCTAAGCAGTGTGCTTTGTCAATCTGCCTGTTCTGCTCCCCACTCTGTCTCTGGTGAATCCTCTCGCTGCCCCTGCTCTCTACCCCAATTCGGTATGCATAAATAAATACATCCTTTAAAAAATCAAATCTAAATGGATAAAAGACATGACCTAAAGCTGCAAAATAAATAGAAGAAACATAAGCAAAATACTCCATGAACATAAGCTTAAGAGATAGTTTTTCAGATTCATTTCCAGTGGCAAAGAAAATGAAAGAGAATACAAACAATTATAATGATATCAAAGCTGTCACACAGAACTATTAAGATGAAAACAACATACTAAGCAGGAGAAAATATTTGCACAAGAGGCTGACATCAAAATCTACAAAGAACTCATACAACTCAACAGAAAGAAAACAAATAAGAAAAAAAGGCATATGAGTTAAATAGGCACTTTTTCAAAGTAAACATGGATGAACAACAGGCACATGAAAAAATTGTCATAATTATTTGTCATTAGCAAAACAATATACCACCTCACAGCAGTGAGAATGGCTCATATTAAAAAGACCAGAAACATCAAGTGCTGGTGAGAAAGTGGAGAAAAAAAAGAATCCTTTTGTTTGGTAGAAATGTAGACTGGTAACAGCTCTTATGGAAAGCAGTGTGGAGGTTCTTCAAAAGACTAAAAATGGATCTGCCATATGACCCAATCATAGGTATTTAACTGAACAACACAAAAATTACCATTTTTTTGTCTTTTAAAAATATAATAGTTTATTTTTACATCATTTTGTGCCTTTTTCCATCTTAGTTGTAATCCCCATGGGCTTCCCATCACCAAACCACCCATGTGCCATCACCATAGTCCAGTGAATTCCACCTCTGACCCCATTGTTGACCCCATTCCCTACTGCACCCCTGTAAAATGTCTCTGGTATATAGCTATTCATTATTATTATTTTTCCCTCTGGTCCTTTATGCTCCTGCTATGAGTGAAATCATCTGGTATTTTTCCTTTTCTTTCTGGCTTATTTCACTAAGCATGATCTCTTCCAGCTCCATCCATGTTGTTGCATGAGTTTATCTTTTTGATTGCTGAGTAATATTCCATTATGTAGATGTACCACATCTTTTTAATACAGTCAATTACTTTTGGGCATTTGGGTTGATTCCATGTCTTTCCTATTGTAAATAAAGCAGCAATAAACATTGGGGTGCAGGTATCTTTTTGAATCATTGTTTTTGTGTCTTTTGGGTTAGATACCTACGAGTGGGATTGCTGGGTCATATGGAAACTCCATTTTTAGCAGTTTGAGAAACCTCCAAACAGCTTTCCGTAGTGGTTGTACTAGTTTGCATTCCCACCAGCAGTGCAGGAGAGTTCCTTTTTCTCCACATCCTCACCAACATTTGTTGTTGCTAGTTGTTTTACGATGTGCCATTCTCACTGGTGTGAGGTGGTATCTCATTGTGGTTTTAATTTGCATCTCCTTTTTTATGAGTGATTTTGAACACTTTTTTCATATGCTTGTTGCCTTCTGCATTTCCTCTTTGGAGAAGTGTCTTTTTAGCTCTCCTGCCCATTTTTTGATGGGCCTGTTTATTTTTGTTGAGTTTCATCAGGTCTTTTTATATCTTTGTGATCGATCCTTTATCACTAGTACTGTGTGAGAAATTTTTTCCCCAATCAGTGGGATGTCTGTTTTTTTGTAATGTTTCTTTTGCTGTATAGAAGCTCTTTAACTTGATGTAGTCCCATCTGTTTATCCTTTCCTTCACTATCATTGCATTGGATGCTGTATCTTTAAAGATGTTACTGAGGTGTATGTCGTATAGTGTTTCACCCATCTTTACTTCCAGGTAAAAAGTACCAATTTTAAAGGAAACCTGTACTCCTGTGTTTAGCATTATTTACAATAGCTAAGATATGGAGACAATGTAAGTCTCCCAAAGTAGATGAATGGATGAAGAAGATGTATGGACACACCATAGAATACTACTCAGCAATAAAAAAGATAAACTCATGTCATTTGTGGTAACATGGAAAGGATTATATTAAGCAAAATAAGCAGAAGCAAATACTGGCTGGGGTCATTTATATGTGGAATATAGAGTAATCAAACAAAGAGTTAGACAAAGGCAAACATTAAAAACAACATTTGAAAGCTAACTATAGATCTGAGGCATCCATAGTGGGAGGGGAGAGGGTAAGAGTATGTTTGGAGGTAGGGGGAGAACACAATGAACTATGGTGGTGGACTATAAGTGCTTTATTGGTGAGAGAGATATGGTAAGGGAAGAAATCCAACACCATCAAAATATTACCAAGGATGCAAAATAATGGTACTTCATTAATTAAATTAAAAAAATAAAATCATTAATGATAAACATAGAATTCATCAACAATGAGATAATTAACTCAGTATTGCTGAGACAAGCTCCTTTGGTTGAAGAAGAGACAATCTAAAAGTTTCTGCTTCTTTTGAGTTGTGTTTCTCACAGTTGAAATTTAGGCAAACAACTGCTAGGTATATTTTAGGGTATGTGATTTCAGTGGATACTTCCAAAGCAAGCAAGCAAAAAAAAAAAAAAAGGATTAAAAATAATGAGGTATGTATAGAAAAAATGCACACTAGAATATGAATTTAACTTTATAGATTAAAAAGTAAAGTAAGGGTGAAAT